AATTGACCAGTTTAAACTCTAAGTAGGCCATTTGCACTGCGGTGTTGAACTGGATCCATCTCCGGGCCTCATCTATATCTGTGGCCCTTGGTGTGTGTGTGTGTGTGTGTGTGTGTGTCAGCTGCCGGCCTTTATTGTCTACCAGGGTGTGTGTCTGTGTGTGTCTACATGTGGATTAGCCGTAGTTATGTAACAGCTGTTCTGATATGAATCTGAGGGCCTGATGAGGAGATGATTGGCAGCTCGGCTCCCAGAATAGATAAAGAATCTCTCTTTGAGGCCCTGAGCTTTCCGTAGGCATCTCTGTGTCGTCTTCATGATTGGCAGGGATAATATCCTAAATTGGCAGATTAGTCTCCAAAAATGTTGCTAAACGTTTCAGCCCCTCACTGAGAGCCTGCTCGATTTCTTAGTGGCTCTTGTCTTTTGTCCGTTATTTGATCACAGTATGTCGAGGGATGTTCAGAGGCGCTAAAGCCTTGTGTTGGTCTGCAATGGGAGACAACAGGCTGATGGCACTTTATCATTATCAAAATTCAAAACACAATCGCAACAACATTTCACAAGACAGAGAAACATAAAATATATACTGGCTTAAATAAATCCACTCCCCTTCTTCTGAGATTCTGCAATCAAATGACAATAATATTCATTTTATTTGGCTTAATGTACACTGAAATGATCATGGCCATAAAGTGAAAAAACACCTTTTAATTTGTTCATGTCCTAAATTGAGGTTAATTGGTCTTCATAAATGGTTATTTGCAGCCATGGAGAGTCAGTCAAACTCTGCTGCTGTTACCTGTGGTGGCCTGCAGAGGGCGCTGCTGGCCTCAGATGGTGTCTGTGCGACCTAAATTCCCTGTGTCTGGTTGCAGAATGGAGAGCATGCCTTTACAGAAGAACAATATTCATGTGAATTAGGTGTTATGCTATAAAATATCCATCAAGGCTCTTACCTGTGTGGGGGGAAACCCGAGTAAGCCCTCATATTTCATGCAAACCGTGTCAGTCCTTCCTGCACGTTTACTGCATTTTGATTTGCATGGATTCAGCGCAGGGATTTATATGATGTTATCAAGGCTACACCGAGGATTTTGCATGCTTTTATAGTTTATATGGGCAGATGAGCTGCAGTGAATACACTCAAAAATGGCATCTTGTCTGCAAAAACCCCACATTAAGATGCATTTGCTAATGCTGTTTGATGCAATGCTGGACGTTGGCTGCTGCCCTCAGATAACTGGGCTTTAACCTGCTTCATCCAAATCTCTGCCAGAATCACCTTTGCACAGCCAAAACTCCATCTTGGCAGCGCCATAGTATTTTGGTTGCATCTTCCAAGTCAGAGAACCTCAATGCAAGGCCATTTATAGAGACATTTTCACTCACACATTTGATTACTTTTTTGTTTTGTTTTTTAATTTAGAGAAATAAAAGACCTTTGCTTTGACGCCAGCTTCCACTTAAAACCAATTTACTCTCCAACCTCATTACTGCTTCACTGAAATTAACTTCCAGGGACAGATTCCGGACATCTGAAATACTGTGACCAGTGGACCAATGAATCTCTGAGAGAGACGACGTACTGGACATGTGTGAGTCATATCAGCATTACAACAACAATCATAGTCCTCTTATAAAAACTCCTTTATTGGTACTTCCTCTCTCCCTTTCTGCAGAAGATGACACATCATTGTGAGAGATCAGAAAAGGGGAGTTTTGGTGAGGGTTTGTCGTGACATAGAAATTAAAAATGTAGGGGGAATTTAGGCGAGTCACAGTTGAACGCTCCCTGCACTTCGGATTTAGCTGATAAAAAGGTCAGTTAAGTGCCTCCTCTTCTTTGGTTTCCACTCCAGAGAGCAGTCTGTTTACTCAATATTTTGCTGAGCGGAAAATCTCAAGTGCTTCTGTCAAAATACCCACGAAGAAAGAAGATTCTCGCAGCACAAACTGGTCCGTAAGTTGTAAGTCACATGTGGGCGGCAGTAGTCCACACGGTGTGAGGCTGTGTACACCTGCTTGACTTTGCTCTACTTTGTAGAGGAGGAGGCTTGTATGACTTAAAAGTAATCTAGAAACAGCTCATGATGAACCATTGGAGTCAAGTTAAATCCTTATAGGGGCACCACGTCGCCGTCAAAGCCAGATGACCTGACACGAGGGACAGTTTGTTACACATTGAAGTCCATCACTGGAAACCTTTTGGAAAAAACAACACTTCTATCTGTGACAGGTGATGGGATGAGCCACCGGTCAAGAAACCTCTCACAGGAGAAGATAGAGAAGCTATATTTCATTGTGCCAAAATTTACCAACCTGTTATACAAATACTCTAAAAAGTGAAATCTCAATTTGAAGTTGGCCCCAATTTGCAGATTATAGTCCATCTTTAGTCATTAAACCTACAACGAGCACAGCTCTTGTGTTATAGATGATTAAGTATTTGAACAAGTCCAACAGACATCTAATCACAGTGTGACTTTGGAGAACATCATCATAGAGGAATGGTGATTTTGAAGAAAACTTGATTAAACTTTGATAAATTATAATGTTGTTTGCGAGGAACCAATGATAGAGAATAATGTTCAGATTGAAAAGGCCTCTGAGGCTTTTGGATTAAATTAGATTTAATAAAATTGGTAAAGATAATTTCCAAAGAATACAAATATTGGGTTGTATCTCTAGCAATTTTATAATGTTTAGTTTACTGCCTAATGCTCTTCAGCGAAAGACAGCATTTTGAAGGTGAGAAGCTACTGGAAACCAGTTTAGTGGGAGGAACCTTTACATGAGCAAAAGGTTCAGCATTTCGTACAATACTATTTATCTGGTGGAGAAAGCTGAGAGGATCAAAAGCACCATCATTTTTTTTAGATTCTTTTAAAGCTATGCTAATTTTATGCTAGCTGTAGTTAGCTAACGTTAGCTTAATATTAAACGTTACCGTCGGACATGAGCCTAATGTTAGCACTTCTATTTTGACACTAATTCCTTACAGTAGCCCATAACGTTGTGTTATTTTTGGTGGAAGCTGACGTAAACTTCGCAGTCTACATCAGATGTGTCGCCCATTTTTAACTTTTTAAGCTAACATGTGTGGTGTCGGTTAAGCTAGCTTGTTCAGTAAGCTAGCTTGTTCAGTTAGCCACGGTATACAACAGCTGGGAGTTGAGAGATATAAATATACATTCTCTAAATGACTTCTTTCAGTGGAGTAACATTTTTGGTAAGTCAAATGTGAGTAAACATTTCAGTTGAATTAGTTAGAAAACTTCTAATCATGTCTCAAAGTTTGGGTTTTTACTTAATCTTTATTAAAGTATTTTCATTTTTTAAAGTCTCATTTCACATTGATGTATGTAATGCTATTTATATTTTTGCATAATAAAATACAGCCGTGGTAGGTAGCCACGTATTTGGTGACAACCTGAGAGGTTTTTTTGGCGGTAAACCTAAAACTGCTCCCGTGAAAACCTGCACTCCGGTCTGGCTTCGGTACAACGCACGCACACATCCGCTGAGGGTGATATAAATGTCTTCTAGCGGTCGTAACCTTTAATTCACGAGGCCTTTTAACTCGTCAGTCAAGAAGCAGATATGACGCTCGGTGGTCCACTCTCCTGCAGCCCGGCGGCTTAACTTAATTTATTGATTTTCCTCACATCTGTGCTACAGTAAGGCACTACAACAACAACAACAACAACAACAACATTAACTGGCTGTCATCTGTCACTTTCGGGGGAGACGTAGCCTCAAACGCCCCTCCGGCCCGTACACGGGGCAGCACTAAAGGAGGCGAATTGACTGGGAACTATTTCAAAAAGGCACGCTGGGTCAGTAGAAGACTAATATGGCGTGAATACAGAAGAAACCAGAGATTATAAATTACACCAGCAACACCATGACACTACTACAACCTGTTCCTTTACTCGAACATGGTGAAGTTGGTTAAACTCTAATGCGATATATTCTGCTGTCATCTTCTATAGTGAAACCAGAAAAAAAAACACACACAGAAAGTACACAAAATATTAACCCGGTATGTGTCAGGTGTGGGGGACTTAAGGTCACAGCCACGAAGAAAATTACAAAAACCAATGTCTGTTATATCCGGCCTCACAGATTCCCCTTTACCCCCCCCACCCCCTCCCCCGTCCCTCCTAACCATATAGGTCATAGTCATAATGTGATCATATCTAACTCTGTGTGTGGAGCACTTTCTGCAGGGCCTCACAAAGAGTGATAAGACTTATGTTATCACAGAGGAGCTAAATGCTAACATCAGAATGCTAACATTTTGGCCATAAGCATGACATTTAGCTGTGATGTTTCAATTATAAACAATATCCACAAGCATTTAAAAAGATGTAAGATATGAATTTGTCATTTTTCATCCAATTCAAACTGTTAAAAACAAAGTGTGTAAAATTGATCAGATAAATAGGAATACTGCATTACAGTTTCCAGCTATAGATAACACAATATAGCTTAAAAAGGCCAGTTTATCCTCTAGTTGATGCATTAGGATCTTCAAAAATTGTTGTCTTTCTGTGAGATGGTGGAAGCCTCCTGCAGACCTGCAGAGGCAATGCAGATGTTGAGGAAGGCCATGTGAAACAGGACCTTAGGCAGAGCTTGTTCTGGAAAGGAGGAACTTTTATGCTTTAAGTGCAGCTACGGAACACGTCAACACATACATCAGCATCCATTGATGCTGATCGATCGTGTGGTTGAAAGCTCTGGGAAAAAAGCTAATTAACAGATTATGAATGAAATTAATTATTGTATGCAGCACTTTGTTGGATGTTTAACACTATTCAAAGTGTTGTCTAAACATATTTAAGTCACTGTAAACGGAATATAAATAAATATAATTTGATATAATATGATTTTAGCTTTTATTACAAAGTCATCACACACACACACGCTCACGTTCCAGCGTGCGTGTGCATCGTGGCCTCTATGCGTGCGGCGCGTGCACGTAGTGTCGAGTTGAACCGCCAAAGAAGAAGAAGAAGAAGCAGAAGGAGGAGAAGGAGGCGGCGTGACGTCGCTGCCCGCAGAGAGAGGCCCGTGCGGGAGCGAGAGGGACGCGCCGTGCATGTGGAGGTGGGGTGAGGGGGGTGGAGGAGGAGGAGGAGGAGCACCAGCAGCAGCACACGCGAAACAAACCCGACCGCCGCGGTAACTTTGCAGAGACGACGGACCGCCATAATGCGGGCACCGACCCCGGAGCTGATGTGACGGTGCACGCCCCGAGAGCAAGGGAGTACGCGGCGGACACCACAACCGCTCCCCCTTCCACCCCTCGGTCGGTCGTCGGACTGGTCTGGAGGACGAGGGCGAGGAGGAGGAGGAGGAGGAGGAGAGGACATGTCCTCGCTAACCGTAGAGGAGGACCAGAAATGGTTCCCCACGCACGTGCAGGTGACGGTGCTGCGGGGCAGGGGCGTGCGGGGCAAGGGCAAGCACGGCACCAGCGACGTGTACACCATCATCCAGCTGGGGAGGGAGAAGTACTCCACCTGCGTGGCGGAGAAGACCACCGAGCCGGAGTGGAGGGAGGAGTGCTCCTTCGAGCTGCAGCCCGGCGTGCTGGAGACCGGCTGCCCGGCCGGAAGCAACGAGCTGGTCCTCGTCGAAGAACAACAGGGAGTCGATGGGACCGGAAGTGTTCTTGGGGACAGGCGGTGATCCAGCTGGCCAAGCTCTTCACAGGAGAGCAGGGTCGTGAAAAATGAGTAAGTCCAGCAGTGCAGACGCGTGCGCTCGTGTGTGTGTGTGTGTGTGTGTGACAGCATGAGGGAGACCTAAACCATGCATGGACTTAGAGCTGGCGTCTCCTACGTTCCATGAACTCATCAGGATGTTTTGTGTTAGGCTTTTGTCCCGTTATGTTGTTGTTGTTGTTGTTGCCTCACAGTTTGTGTTCATATACACACACACAACTGTCCCGTCTGTGGTGCTGCATCGGGGCCCTGCAGACACACCCTCCCTCCTCCCATGGACACACAATCCCATCTCATGGAATCCCCCTCCCAAAACAACAAATCCTGTCCTTCTAGAAACTTCACTTTCTCTCCCTCCAGGCGTGTCCACCTACGGCGTTTGCATGGTTGTGTGTGTTGTTTCCCAATAGCCGAGGCATGACGTCCAGCAGGAGGGGGGATTAATGCCTGTCCCAGTTCCAGGGATTATCTAACTGTTTCATTATCCCAGAGCTCCAAGGTAGTTTAAGCATAACATGTTGTTTTGACAAGGGACCAACCCACCCGACCGGCGCACAGGCTGCAAAGAGCTCAATGCTGAAAAGTTTGATGTTGCATCACTTTAAACATTTGCAAAATCTTAAAGGACGTTTTGCATCGTTGTATTAATTATTAACCAATAAGGGATTTAATTTGAGTTGGATGAACAGAGTTGGAAGAACAAATGTGTTGTGTTGCAACTTACTGTTGTATGGATCTGTGGGGTTCAACACTACCCACAATCCCTTGCAACACCTCCCAGATGACAAGCGGGCATTTCAGATGCAGGGTTGATATCCTATGCAAACAAATTACCAAGAAAAATAAGGAGATTTGTACCTTAAACGTAAGTGATCTTTCACGGAAGCAATGCATTATGGTCAATTGAGTCCAGATGTTGGACTGCATCTACAACAATTGAGTTCTTCCACTTCCACGCTCTGCTATTATGTCACAATGACATGTGATGGTGCTTTGTTTACATTCTCCAGGGCAAAAGGCCTTCTTTTTTCCCAACCTTTTTAAAAGTACAGTTGTCCTTTTCTAAAGACACATTCGTCCCAAGCTTTATCGTATTGTGGCCTTGCAATAAAAGGTCCATCACCTGGTGTGTATATTTGCATTTGGTGTAAGTATTCATGCTCCACCGGTGGCTTGGAGGTTCGAGTCGGCCCGTGATGTTGACGCGTCGCGCTACATTCGCCGTCTCTGTGCGGTATTCGTTGAATCCGGGCTGGTCGGCAGCAACACGACGGCCCCAGCGCTCGACACTGCTCGACGGGCGTGACGGAGGACATCCACCCAAACACCAGCGGTATTCAAGGGGTATCCACTCAACGGAATTAAGTTAAAAATGTCAGGTGACCCAGAAAAACACACTGCTTCTGTGTTATAAAAATGTAGGTTTGCACTTAATCGTGGCAGATGTGATCATAAAACCGCAGTTGAAAAAAACGCTTTTGAACAATTTCGACACAAAAGTCACTTTGTACACGGATGACCACATGCTTTTTAATTTCCAGTATGTGGTTTTAAGTGACAGCAGTGGGACATTTAGCGTTGCGGCGGTTGAGGACTGTGCCAAGACTCCTTTACAGTCCCTGATATTTATAAAGCACTCCAGGGATGAAGAGCTCTGGGTCGTGTACTCCGGCAGATGGAGGAGATCCGTCTCGTCTGAGCCTCGTGACTTGTTTTATCCTCCATCCGTGTGCTACTGAATCAGCGTGCTCCAGTCGCACTCGGTGCAAATGAAGGGCGAGGTGTAAATTTCGGCGCGGGGACGTCGGAGAGAGGATGAGCTTTCACTCTGCAGGGTGAAGCGGAAAACGGTGTCGATGAATCCGTCGAGGTGCTGCCAGAGGAGGCACGCCAGGTGGCCTCCTCAAAAAGCCCGAAACGTGAGAGGAGAATGTGTAGGGAGGAGGTCAGGCAGTGTGTTTATCTGCTCTGACCAAGCACACAATGGGGCTAACGTTAGCTTAGAGCGGCTAGCTGCAGCTAACGCATCCTGCTAGTGGCGGTTGTCTTGTGAGTGGGGAAAGTCGGTCGCTGGCTGTAAACTTTGTGAGTGTTTCAGGACACAAAGGTTTATAACTTGAGACTGACTCGTGTCCTTTAAGACAAAGAACATTGTCCAAACACTTAGTTGATTAACGTCAAGTTACGAATGATAGTAATTTATCAAACAATGAGATGGATTTGCTGCCACTGTGATTTTTATACACCTGTAAATTGAATATATTTAACTCAACGTTATCAGAAAACATTTTTCTCTTTTTAATTGTCAAAGTTCGCGAGGTGCCGATATTATCATTCAGATGTTAAGATTTAATAGTTCAAAACCGCTGCCTCCAACAATTTCAGTCTCTGTTTGACGTCTTCCTGCAACGCTGTTTATCTGGAGGAAGCGGCGCTCTGATGTCGTTTCAGGCCAGCGAGTGTTACTGAGGAAGGCCTGAGAGCTGTGTGTGTGTGTGTGTGTGTGTGTGTGTGTGTGTGTGTGTGTGTGTGTGTGCGCGCGAGCGACACACATCCAGCCAAATCCTCGGTTAAGTGCAGACAGACTTTCAGTAGCTACTGCAGAGATAGAATGTGGTCTAATGGACGTTACAAGTTACGTAACACAAATGCCCCTCGGCTTGTCGAAAACAAAGAGAACTCAACCGTCATATAATCCCTGAATGTACAGCAGCCTATATTTTACCAATATTGGTACCTTATATATGCCACGTGGAGGCTGTGCAGTCGCATCACAGAAGAAGAAGAAAGCTGGAATCTTCTGGTTCTTGGCAGTTAGCTGCTTAGCATGCTAGCTAAGGGATGCTAGCCTCCACGTGCTTTTCAGGCTATTATAAATATTGTGAACTTTTAGCTGACCATTTTTAACGTTTTTAACAATTCTAAGTAATGTATTATTCCTTTAGTAGCACTTAAAGGTTCTGTATTATTAATGGAGCACATTTTTACGTATAGCTTTTGAAATCCAAATTTCTCAGTGTCATATTGAGGGGCTGGGGGTTGTCTTTCATTAAAGTCAAAATAAATGAGAAGCCTTCACTATTCTAATTCACCACATTGGCGTGAATTTGCGTGTGGAATGTTTGTTAAAATGACGCGTTACTCTTGTAATAGTTTATAAAACGTCGTCCTGGTTGCAGTAGCTCAAGTGTTGAGTTGAGTTCTTGCCGGTTTGAAAGCCTCTGAGGCTGATGTCACTTAAACAATTTGTGTTACCACACTGTTACTGAAGAGATTACGGTCTGGATGTTGTAGTTAACTAAATGCATGCATGCAGTAGTTGGCTTCCCCAAAGCCACATTTCACTCCACATTCTTGCTGCTTTACAGAAGCATCCAGTCACAAAGTTAACCGTGTGCGTCTTGTGATGCACATCAGACGACCTCGTTCAACCTCAGCTCATCCTCATGGATCAGGATGCTGATCTACTTTGGCCCGTTGACTCATTTTTACTGTATTTTGGAGGATGTTACTGAAGTATATATTCCTCTCGCGTTGGTTTCTTGTGACCTCAATATATTTCTTTATTTTACTTGTTTAAGCCTTTTCCTTCCTCTGATCATTAAATATTTGTTCTGTGATCCGGGTCATTCTGCTGACCGAGGGATCGTCCTATAAACTTATTATGTTAAGTTATTATCAGCAAATTCACAATATAATTCCTTCATCATAATCTATTATTTTTTGTTTGTTTGGTGAGATGCAAGAAGTTTGTCAAACGTTCAGTTCAACTGAAATGAATTAAGTCTTACTCATCATTTTTCCGTGACCCGTCCTCTCGCTCCACGCGGGTTTTACGGTTTTGTTTTACGTCGGGTCGAGCAGGTGTGGGTTTAACACACAGCGCTCGGTTGTGTCGGGGGGGGGGTAGGGGGGGAGTCAGGGTGAGTTTAGAGCTCATCACATCCAGATGTGGAATGTGGTGCGGCTCTCGCACTTCTGCTGATGGGGCAGAAATCCCAGGCCGCATTACCCACAATGCTCCTGGAGGGGGCTCGTTGGCTCGTATCACGGATAGAGATGCAATGGGAAGCGTCCACTTGATTAGCTAAATGAGATGGTCTCTATAAGTGGCCCGACTCGCTAAGCCGGTAATTCCTCAGGCGTCATCGAGAGCGGCTTGTGGTCTGTGCGACGTGCTCGCTGCAGTCAAGTGTTTATCCCGAATCAAAATGACATATTCAGGAGAACATTCATGTTTGTTGAAGCTCATAATGATCGCGAGTCCAAATCCATTTTCAATGTTATTGGTATTTTTGCTATTTAGTTTTTTATGTCTCAGCTTAGGTGGAATTCCCAGTGGAAGGTCAAGAGGTCGGTATTTTGGTTTGAGCAAAAATTAACAATCAGCGATTGTTTGGACGCAAACAGGTTAAACAAAACGTTGAAAACACCGACCTAGAGAGACATGCAGATGTTAGTAACGCCTTTCATTCTCCCAACGGTACATCTATACATCTATACAGCCTTTCTTCCTTAATTTAAACTTTAATACGTTATACTTTCCGTTTCATGATTCTGAATGTGCTCGCTCTGATCAGAGGCAGTGAAGTGACCTTAAAATTCCAGTACGTTTTGAGTGCCGTCCCACCATTGACACAGATCCTGCGCCCACGGCACCGGCTTTATTTCGGCGCGGCTCCTCTGCGCGGCTCAGATACCACCCGGGAGCCCCACGGGGGGGACCCAGCGCATGCCGGATAAAGCAGGTTCGACGGCCCTACTTGTCTTTGTAATTCACAGCCCTGTCCCGCCTTGAAGGGCGGTTTCCGGGGACCCTCGTTCCACAGAAGAAGAATAAGAAGGAAGCTAAAGGGAAAGGGCTCCTGCCCGACGAGGAGACGGTGTCATGCTGCGACGGGGCGGAGGCTTGTGATTTCCTGTTTTGGAAGATGGGGAAGCAGATATGCCGAACATTTAGTTGAGCCCGTTTTGCCCACAGCGGCATTCCCGCGCCTTTCAAGTGGACGTTTAGCTGAAACGCGCTTTGTAATGTCAGCGGCCTCGTTGAGCTGAGCAGCAGCCTGTGTGGGAACCGAGTCCTCTTCAGTCCTGTTCTGTACGTGGGCTTTAAAATGTAGGCTGCTGCAGTTTATGTCTGTGCTGCACACTCTGTATTAAGGCGCCATGCCACCTACGTCTACATTTGTTGTTGTCAGGCTTTCTCCGATGTCACGTGACCCCCCCTCTTCCCCGGCACAGGTGCATGTACGTAAATAGGCCTGAAACCTTATTTTTTTTTTTTTTGCATTATCTTCAAAAATAATTCTATTCTTGTTCAGCATGCAAATGTTCTCTCCCCAGCTCTTAATGAAAGTCATTCTGCATTAGCCGAATAAATGTACAATCTAATGACACAAAGGCCCATAAAACGCAGATTTGCTCGATGATCCACCTGCGCGGTGGACGTTGTAGTAGCAGCTCCTTCTGTATTGGGAATTTGATCCGGGAGTTTGCTGCCGAGTTAGAAGGAGCGCAGGTACTATTGTTGGAGCATGGATGTGAAACTGGAATCCACACCCAGGAGGCGTGTGAGGTGGAAGCACTGGTTTACAATATTCGAGCAGACGCCCGAATCGCTTTAAAGGAACAAAACATGTAGATCGATTAAACCGCCGTGAGGGGTACGTTTAATGAAACGCTGCTAAATGGATTAGATTGGAAAAAATAAGATAATATAATTAAGATAGATATTCTATAGATTTCAATACAAATACCATCGTGGGAGTGTCACCGCCGCCTTGAACGAAATGGAGATTATTCAACGTTCTTCACATTTCTCACGAGACACGTTTCCCTCGCTGTGTGTTTACTTGAGCTGTGATGTTTTGAGCGGTTTGTCTGCTAATTGTTTTTACTGGCATTCATCTTGGGCGTCGCCGTGTTTTCATGACTTCGGCCGCGGCCGGATGACGATGACGATGATGATGATGATGATGATGATGAGGATGTTGATTACATAACTGTATGTTGCTGGGGGGGTATTTTTCTTTGTCCTGCAGACCACGATTCCACCCATTTGTTTTGCTTGAGAAGGGAAGTCTCTCCCTACGAGACCTGGAAACAGAGACGCTGGGTTCAGAGGACTGTGATGTAAACAAAACAATATTTGCTGTATATCATTTATAGTGATAACATGCCACGCGCCCAACCCCCCCTAACTGCTAGCAGAGATCATGATAGCATGCTAGCATTAGCATGCTAAGGCCTGCTCCTAAATTTGCAGCGTAAAGTGTGAGGACTTTATTCATCATAGTTTCTTGTGTTCCACGATCGTCTCAATGCGGTTCTCGCATGTTTGTTTGCAGTGTAAAACTGTCAAAGATAAACGGAGAACTTTCAAGTATGACGTTGATTGAAAAGCAAACAAAGGCAGCCGTAGAAACAAGCATTATAAAGCATGATTTCTTTCCCCGTGTTTTCATTACATTACACTTTAAACCCGTGGCTTTTTTACATTTTTGCCCGGGGAGCAATTAGGGGTTATGTGTCTTGCTCAGGGACACTTCGACTTGAGACATGGGGCAGCCGGGACTCGAACCACCAACCTTGCGGTTCCTAGCGCACCCGCTCTACCCTACGCTTAACAGGCCGGTGAGGTCAGTGAACTCGATCGAGACGCGGTGGGGTCGTGTTAATTTACTGCAGAGTCCCACTGACGGTTTAAAGCATCAAGAAAAGAGGAAACCTGGTTTGGGGGGAAATGTAAAGGTCTCTGTGCGGTCAGGGTGCGAGGTTCCTTTCTCAGATCAGTCTTACATAATTATCTTTCATGTCTCGTGTGTTTTAACCCTCTTCTGACTTCACACACTTGCACATTTTACTTTCCATCGCTCGACGTTTAGGTTTTTTCTTTGACTCATCAGACCGGGGGATTTTATTCGTTTAAGAAGCAGGATTTAGGTTACTCGACCTCCTCTGGCAGCCTGTTTTATGTCTGTACGTTAACACTGAAATCACTCAACGTGATTACAAGGTCAGCTACGTTTAATTAGTAGAGATGTCAGCATTTTGCTTTTTAGCTTGGCTTTTGTTTTGCTAAATATATTAATGTTCACATTAAGTCAACGAATCCTTCATTTTGGAGCCCGAATATGGTGTTCAGCCCACACGTGGAACAGTGTAGAAGTGAACTCATGGGCGTATTGTGAACATGCAGGCGTGTGCGTGTGCGTGTGTGTTCATGAACAATAGACGGGCGCCGTGGTCACAGTGGGAGGTGGAAATAGCCCCTCAGGAAGTGACAAAACCAAAGCAGGTCTCTGTTTGGGGCCTTAAGGGCTTCACGTTGGCAGCAGCCAACTGTCGGAGAAACACGAGGGGAATTCTTCTCACTCTTTTTAAACCGGTTCGACCGCAGCAGAGGAGACTTTCCCTTGAGTCACGCTGCGGTGGACGTGTTGGCGTTTCTGAGAACCGCCCCAGAGAAGGATCGGTCGGTTCTCCGTGTCACTCAGAACCGGGCATTGTTCCTGTAACCGGTCCGATGGCGAGAACGGGAGGCGAGGTGTTGTGGGACGTCCGGCCCGCACGCAGCCTCGCGCTGTTCATAGGACGCAGACTCCCTCAACGCTGAAATAACAAAGTTATCTTTTCAGTACACATTAGTAACATGTGCACATGTTTCATTGCACACATTGAATTTAAACTTTATTTCTTATAATTTTGTTTGTCTGTTTGTCTTTCCTCTGTTTCTATAGTTCTGTCGTTGTTACTGAAACACAGGACTCTCCTACTACTAATGTATTTTATTGTCCACTATCGTTTGACAATACATTCAGGTATAGACACTACTACAATACCCATAAGCCCCGGCTGCTGTTGCCATGGAGCGCTGGTGAATTCAAAGCGCGTCGTACTTGGAACAAAACACCTCCGACCACGAATTGATTAAACGACTTCCTGTCCTGCTGCTGATCTCACGGGTGACGTCCTCTCCGCTGCAGGTGGTACAAACTCAACTCCAAGACGGGGAAGAAGGAGAAGGAGCGAGGAGACATCCAGGTCACGGTGCAGTTCACCCGCAACAACCTGACGGCCAGCATGTACGACCTCGTCATGAAGGACAAGGGCGCCTCCACCTTCGGCAAGCTGAAGGAGCGCATCAAGGGCAAGAAGAGGTGCAGCGAGGAGGACTCGGCGCCGGCCGCCCTGCCGAGCGGCTACGGCTCCCTCGTGCGGATGCGGCAGCGGTTGCCGAGCGACGGCGGCGGGGAGGAGGACTACGAGGACGACGAGGGGGGCGAGGCCCGGCGGAGCAAGATGAGGACCTTCTTCCTGAGGGGGAAGCTGAGGAAGTCGTCGGACACTCGCTCCAGCACGTCGCTGGGCTCGGAGAGCAGCGAGTCGTCGTCGCGCGGCGGCAGCCTGAGCCCCACGGCCGGCATCAGCGTGGTGGTCTCCGACCTCTCCAACTCGCCCAGCAACAGCAGCAACCTGACGGCGGACAACAGCCCAGGTGAGAGCGGGCGGTAGACGCCGAGGTCTGAGACCTCTAACAATCAATGCAGCAAAGAAATGCGGTTAGAAAAAAGCCTGTTGTAGCGTTCAGTAATCCGCACATCTTCTGTGGGACAAATGCGATGATGCAGGATTACTTTGGAACATGAAATGATCAGATATTCGGCATTTACCCTTTTTTTACATCGCTGATCTTGATGGAAAATAATTTAAAAAAGAAAATCTTTCATTGGAACAATTGCGGATCCTTTCTGTATCATCAATACAAAATACATAAATGTTTCCTGATCCCTGATTCCTGAACTAATCGATGAATCGCTTTGGGATCATTTATGTTAATGTCAGATTACCCAATAAACCTTTTCCTTTAAATCCTTTTAGTTCACGTAGTTTCTAAGTGGTTTAAGAGGGTTAGGGGTTAGGGTTGGGTTGTCTAAAAAGGAAAAAGGAGAAGCGCCACTATTGAGTAAATGGATGGATGACTGAGACTGAACAGGTCTTAGTTTGTAGCTGCTACAGTGCTGATTACTAAACATGAGGATGCTCGTCTTTATCTCTGGGAAGGTTAATGTAGAGGTTATGCTATTTTATGTTGTGTGTATTTTATATACACACTTTGTTCCTTAAAAAAGGAATCATTTCATCACATGAAAATAATGACATGTTGAAATAGAGAAAATGCATTTTTTTGTTTGTTTTTATTATTCGCCTGCTGACACCACAGTGTTGCTATAATCGGATAACGTACTAAAATACATTTGGTATCGCGTGTTGTGAAACCCGTTTAATAACGTGCCTGCAAATGATTAATTAACTTGGAAGTGAAAATCCCTCATGTGAAGCTGCTGCTTCGTGCCGGTGAAAAATGTGACTTATTAAAGTCTCGTTTTCTCACGCTGCCGTTTCTACTCGTGTCTCTGTGCTCCGCGTTTCTTCTCCCAGATCACACCAAGTCGTCCTCTCTCATATGCGAGTTCGGCGACGACGACGACGGGGAGATCACCATCGCGGTGCCCCGGCCCGCCGCCAACGGACGCCTCCCTCGCGGCGTCCGGCCCACGGACCCGGGGAAACCCGCGGCCCCTTCGGGCCTGGCGCCGCTGCAGAGGTCTCTGCCGCTCTCCGTGTCTCTGCAGAACCTGCGGCCTTCCACGGACCTCCTCAAGAGCCCCGCGGGCGACGGGCGCCGCTGGTCTTTCGACAAGCCCTGCGAAGAGGAGAAGGCGGCCATAGCGGCGGCCCTGGAGCAGAGCGGGCCCATGCTAGGAGACGAGGAGGAGGAGGAGGAGGAGGAGGGGGGGCAGTTTGCTCCGCCCGGATCGGCCTCCTCCTCCAGGGTGGAGTCGGGGAAGAAGCCGAGGAGCGACATGTTTACCCAGCGACAGGATGAGTCCCAACAGGCAGGCGAGCAGAAACACAAGGGCTGGTTTGGATCAAAAGACTCGCACGCCAAACCCAGGTGTGACGCACTCACACACACACACACTCACACACACACACACACACACACACACACACACACACACACACACACACACACACACACACACACAGCGGTGTGTAACAACGTCGCGCAGATGATGAATTAACAGGTGAATCTTGTGCTTTGCTTTGATTGAGAAGCGACGATGCAAATATATGAGCGGCAGTAAACTAAACTCATAAGTTCATAAGAATGAAAGATAATAAGTGATTGTTCCTTTATGTTGCATAACATTCACAACTAAAATGTATAATCTGTATTCGAATAAGCCTTATAAAAAAAAAACTAAACTAAAAAGAATAAATACTTGATCCTCAAAATATCCATTTAACCACACTGACGTCTTACGATATTACAAGGGTTGGAAGTGAAGACTTGTGCAGACGCACCTTTTCACTGAATTGAATGAGAAGGTGTGTCCACACCTCTGACTGGTACTGTATGTGCCGAAACCGGTTCTTAACAAACCTGCACCCGGTTCGTCTCAGCAGCGTATTTATGGCGCGGGTTGCCAGATACGTCCGCTGACTGCGGGTGTCCAAAATGCCCCCCTGCACAGGCACGACGGTCCGACCAAACCTGGCAACCTCAGTGTGACGACAAGTCAACAAGTCAGAGAGCTGGAAGCGAATCTTCTCTCTCAAAAATAAGTCTGCATGAAATACACACATAGGTGTGTTTCTATTCTTCTGTGAATTAAATACTGGTTACATTTCTGGAGAAGTTTGGACTTTGGGCAGAACCAGGCTAGCCGTTTCCAATTTTCATGCTAAGCTAATGGCTTTCCAGAGAGCTGTATTGATCTCTCCAAAGATGTTGCGACCCAGAGCGGAGTCTAATAAGAGTCCAATAAAACGCACAGGAGGTGAAATCACAGCAAACACCAGAGGAGACGTTCACGTGTAACGTCCTGAGCACCAGGATCGCTCTCTGGTTACAGCGGCTATCTGCAGTGCAGATGGAGGAGGGCGAGCTGAACGCCTCAGTGATGATGGCGAGATGAGGATGCGAGCAGGAACAATATTTGCTCTCTCCCAGATTGTGTGTGTCTGTGTGTTTCATCACCGTGTGTGTGTGTGTGTGTGTGTGTGTAGAGCGATGGGAGGCGAACTGCATTTACAGAAATGTAAAATGTTTTTGTTAAGTTGCCATATCCCGTATCTAATGAACCAATGAAAATAGTGCACCATTTATTTAGATATTATTAGATTCACCTGCTGTACTGAACAGTCTCTGACGTCTCGTAGAAGAAGCATCTTTTATTCTTTTATTTCAGGTCTATACGAACACTTCAGCGGCTTCTTTTCATCTCTCTCCATTTATCTGAGACCAAATAACCACATCTGTCGCAATGTTTGTCGAAACAACACAGAGCGTAAACAAAATATTGGCCTGATAAGCGGCTGCTGATTGAGGCGAGGTCAGCTATTCTGGACCATAGTACACTCGATACGGCTCTGCCAGCTCTGGAACCACACGTTTCCACAGCTTACACACCCACATGCCTTTATATCCAGGGGGTGGAAAGTGCCAAGTTGGCACCAGCAGCGCAAAGTAATCATTACACCCAGCGGCATCAACTTTTCTTGCAAAATATTACATCACACGCAAATGCAAACACAAGATCGGCAGAGACGGCTTCTGTTTTAGTTGTTTCGGTTTGATCGTGGAGCGTTTAACGGCTGCGACAAAAACACCGGCAACTCTTCCTCTCGTGTTCACTGAGAAGGGTGAAAAGTAACTGCAGGTTTAAATAAAAGTGAATTGGGTTGAATACGGATGCTGTAAAAATGTGTGATTTAAGATGTGACTCGAGTCGTAACGAACCTCCTGCAGGCCGGACGTCGATCTGCGTGAACCATCCACACTAATCACGAGGACTGTGTGCCCTTCCTTTCACAGCCTGGTGGTGTCACCTAAACTAGAGCCCAGCACTGACCCCCGCCCACCACCCAGCCCCCCGGGTGCCCCCGTAGACCCCGCCCCTCTGGTTTCCCCCCTCCATCACACTAACCCTTTCTCCCACTCACAGGCCGCAGCGCCTCCCATATCGCCCCGCAACCCCTTCTTCTCTCTCCTCCAGCACAACCCTTTCTATGGCGCCACGCTAACCGCTCAGCCCCTAAAGCCTCCGCTGCCTCCTCTGCCCCATCTCTCCAGCGCCCGGCCCCCCATAGCGCAACTCTTTCCGCAGACGCGCGCCGACCCGCCCGCGGAGGCCGCCGCCGCCGCGATGGACGAAGCCGGGGAACGACCCCTTGAAGGGGAGGTGCCGGCGAGCGTGAAGCTGCCCGGCGCCTCTGCGCGTGCCGGGGAGGTGGACCCGGACTCTGAGTGGGACGAATGCTTCGACGCCTTCGCGGCCGGCCGGCTGCAGTCTCCTGAGGATCCGACCGCCGGCAAAACGCAGCGGAGCGATGCTCTGAACGCCGACGACGGCGCATCACTACCCGCAACGGAGGCAAACGCCAACGAAGCACTACGCCGCCGACCTTCCACGGGGTCGGCGCCCGATGCACAAAGAGCCGTGTTCCAGGTGACCGGCACGTATCATTCTGACACGTTTGCACAATTCCTCGAGACGATCCCGGAGCACGAGAGCTTTGACAGCGACAACGTCCCGCTAAGTAACTCACCAGATGCTTGGCTCCAAGCTAATCAAGCTAACAGTGCTACTAACGATCTAAACCACACTAATGCGCATCGGGCCCCCTCCGGCCCCCCGTTTGTAGAGCTCAGCAGCAGCTCCCCGGATCCCGGTTCTTCTGGTATCGGCAGTTCAGAAGCAGAAGAGGAATTCGTCTCCTGCCCGTCGTCGTTTTCAGACAAATTCTGTGCGTCCTCCTCCGAGGAAGCCGAGGTACGACTCGTTGACAGCGACATCCTCCGCTTTGAGCGATCCTCTGACCCGTCGGTCGTAAGGCCCTCGGAATCGGAGGACGACCCAAACGACCGGTCCGCCGATCTGTCCGCAGCCGACGTGGGTCAGCGCACCGTCATTCAGCACGGCGAGTCCTCTGAATCGTCACCGGCACCGCAGACCCCACCGCTTACGCCTCAGCAGCACGAGATCAACGCCGCTCCTCCGTCACCAAACCTCTCCGGCGCCGAGCGGCTTCCGGAGCTGCAGCCGAAGTCCAAAGAACCTTCACAGTTCACCGCTGAATTAGACGGATCTGCTCAGGATTTCTTTGATACCTTTGCGCCGGTCAGCGACACCGCGGGCGTGATGACGTTCACGACTCCAGAGGGTACGCTGGCACACCCCTCGCTGCGTATCATAACCTCCTCGCCTGAGGCCAGCCTGCGCTCCCCGAACCCATTCGGCTTTGTGGGCGATCTCCTCAACGCCAGTAACATGGCGAGCGGCCCCGGCCGAGACTTGGGCGGCGCCTCGCTGGCCGCGCGGGCGTCTGATCAGAGCGGCAGCAGCGTGTTTCTGCAAAGTTTCTGTGCCAGCACGGACTCGCAGGACTACCAAACCTGCGCGTCTCACCAGACCTCAAAGTGCTCCAGCGGCCCGGAGCTGAACGAGACGCCGCGCTCGGCCAACTCGACGCTCTGTGGCGAGCTGAGCGACACGCACGCGACCTTGCCGGCCGCCGCTTTGGGCCTAGACGGTTCCACCGATGCGTACATGCCACGTGGCGAAGGACTTGCCGGATGGGATCGATTCGCGGAGATGTGGCGGCAACTCTCGAGCCATGTTTCGGGATGGCGGAGGCCTTCGGTTCCCCCCCGGCGAGCTGTAACCTGGAGACGCTCGCCGAGGGAGGCGACAGAAGACGGCACGTCGTCTCAGGCGACGCGTCGCCGAAGCGCCGCGAGGCACCGAGCGCTCCGCTGAACCGCTCGCATTCTGAAGGCGAACTCACACCCGCCTTTGACGGACTCCTCCTGCTGCCGTCCTTCGGGAGCGACCCCGGCGCGGCACAGGAGGCCCCGCCCCCAGCTCAGCCCGGCCCCCGCCTCCCCTCGCTGACCTCCTTTGCTCCCTGTCTAACTCCTCAAAGCAGTAGCTCCCCTGTCGCGCGCTTTTCCCTCCCTCCCCCCGCCAACGCCACGGCGAGGCCGCCGCCCGCGCACCGCCGCCGCCGCCGCCAAGGCCAGTACACGAGGAGCCGCCGACTCGGCAGCAGCAGGCAGCCAATCAGGAGAACAGGTGAGGCTGCACATGCTCAGTGCACGGTGGGGGGAGAAACGGTGGAGAGGAAGCACTTTTTCTACCCGTGTCGTCTCTTCAGTGCCGCTCTGCTTCCGCCTGCTTTTCTTCTGCGTCTCGAGGGGCTTCTCCTTTTGTGGTGTGACCTCCTCTTTTCTATCACCCTTTGAAGACAAACACACTCCGGCAGCATGCTGGTGTTAACAGGACTCCGCCGCAGGTGTCGTGTGTGTGTGTGTGTGTGTGTGTGTGTGTGTGTCCTGGCTCCGTGGTGACGGTAAGGGAAACGGAGCCTCAGGCCAATTAGCAGTTATTATTTTGCCCTGAATCCTACCCCCCCCCCCCCCCCCCCCCAACAGGGCCAACTAGTGCTCTCACACGGCAACACCGTTTGCCAGAATCTCAGCCAGAAACCAGGCAAAGAAGGTGTTGTTGTGTCACTGAAAGCATTTCCTTTTCACCTCGGGGTAATAACACGTTCAACACAGTTCTACATGTTTGATTGCATGCAATTAAGGCTTTCAATTTTCACCAGTATTTTTCTTTTAATGACGGCTCTTTCTTTCACGTGTCTAACCTCCCCATTCACTCTTTCTGGGGATTGTACGAAGGTTGATGCGTAGCATCCCGCTCGGCCCGCGGGTCCAATCTGTTGTGCTCTGACAGTTTGTTACCCCGGCTGAGTGAGGAGGGATGAGCGTGACAAAGATTGAGTCACTGCAGTACTCAAGTCTGATGGCTGATAGATGACATGCTAGAATGTAGGTCACTGACACAGGAAACAGTCTTTCCTGTGTTATTGTAGCTTGAGAAAGTCTGTCAAGTTGACCCGAACAAAGAGCTGGTTTATGGTCGTTTATCGGATTCATTTTAATTATCTGCAGATTTATTTTGGGTCCTCTGAAACTTGTGAATTTCAGCTCTAAAATAATACCATCTAATTAATGAGAAAACACACACAAACTCATTATATTTAAATACCAATAAGCGCTGGTTGTGAGTAACACTAAAAATATTCTGTCATTAGCAGCAGGCGTTCAGCTGAAACCGTCTAATCAGCTGTTTAGAGGATTTTACTCTGAAAATTGTTCGCTGCACAAACCATTCCCCGACTTCTCAAATGAAACACCTGGCGGTGAGTGATGCGTGCTGCTTGTTGTTTGCCCCCCCCCCCCCCCTACTCCAGCCCCCACCCGGTGAAGCCCTGAGCGCCGCCCCGCCGGCCGAGGAGAGGCGGACCGAAGGCCGGTCGGTGCTGGAGAAGCTGAAGTCCAGCATCCACCCGGGGAGGAGCAGCGAGCAGGAGGCGGACAGGAAGAAGGTAGCGAGCGTTATTGTGTCGATGATGTGAAGGATACTGCCCCTCAGAGGCAAACAACGGCAACGTTGGGTTCGTGTTTTCACATTTAATGATCTGAAAGATTTCAAACCGCATCAATTAAATCAGACTTCTGGTATTCAGACGCAAATGTGACAAAAAAGGATTATTGTTTCTTTACACAACTCTTTCATGTTGACATTAAAAAGCACAGCAAGTAATGCAAATACTGACTTAATTCAGGCGTAATTAGTGTAAGAAATCCGACGGCAGAATAATAATAATAAAACTTGAAGTGACTTGAGACAACAAACAAATGTAAAGTCACTTTGACCTCAGATGCATAAACATGCATTCATCTTCAAACTAACTCATTTAAATTAAAGGGAGTTAAGGAATATTACAAATTTGATAATAGCTTCTTTTCTTTCAGATACGATAAAGAACTAAAAGTAAAACTTTTGTTTATCAATGTGAGTTTTTTTCCAATGCTTCATCTTGAATAGAATTATATTATTCTTTTACTAAATATTCCATAGATTATCTAAAGACACCAATCTGCTTTAAGTTTTAACAAGAGGCAGAGACGCCGTGGAAGGTTATAAATGGTTAATGATTTGTCCCTCTTTCCTGGGACGAACCCACTGCTATTTAAATCAACATTAGCGTGAGCAGCCGATGCCTGAATGAACCGACCATTCCTCTTCCTCTCCGCAGCCCGTGACGGAGGGAGCGGGCTCGTACTACCACCTCAACCACCGGGAGCTGGTCGCCATGCTGGTGGAGCGGGAGGCGGAGCTGGAGCGGCAGAAGGCGGAGTTCGAGCGCCAGAAGCTGGCGCTGGCCAAGCGGGAGGTGGAGCTGAGGAAGCTGAAGCCGCAGGTCAAAGACCTGGAGGACTACATCGACACGCTGCTGGTGCGCATCATGGAGCAGAAGCCCACCCTCCTGCAAGTGCGCTCCAAGTTAAAGTGACGGGGAGAGAGAGAGACGGGGGTCTTTTCACTGCTGCGCTTGTCCTTTTTGATACAGACGCGTCGGGGGGGGCGAGCTAACCCTCGTCCCCGTTGGAGGCTCTGGTTCCCGGGGCGGTTCTGAATGTAGCGGGTCCTCAGGTTGTTTTCAGGTTCACACAGCCGGTTGGTTTCGAGATGCATCCATTTGTATGGACCTCGATTGTGGAGACAGTGATTCCTTCTGCTCACTTCTGTCACCGTATCACAAGAGAAGCGTCCGACCGACTCCTCGCAATGTTTTTCAAAGGTATTTTTTAAGAAGTGTTGCGGTTCCGTGGGGAAAGGAGAGCGAACGACTGGTGGTTTTGCATGTTTCAGACCATTGACCACAAATTGCACAGTTTGAGTCAATGTTGGCCGTTTCTGCAGGAAACCATCAGAGTTTAGATTGATTTTATATCTGTTTAGGCAGCCATTGGTTTAGCTTCATTTCAATGCAGCATGCAGAGACCTGCTCAGGAGAAGAATCTATCACAGGGGAACATTTACTTTGATTTTATAGTGATGCAGCGAGAGCTGAAGGAGGGTTCGGTTACCAGAGGACATCGCTCTCATAAGCTTGTAGGGCAGCAACTTTAGTTATTTAAAATCTAAATTAATCTACTGAATAATAAGGTGATGTAATTATAAAATGTTTGCATCCTGAAAACTGGTTAAAACAAAATAAATAGTAATTGATAAAGTTTGACAAATTTGGTTAGAACCAAGCTAACTGTCCCCCCACCGACCCCCCCCCCCCCCCCCGCCACTTCCAGGCTATATGCTAAGGTAAAACAATACCACCCATTGCCCTGAACCATTCTTGGAGCACAAATGGGAGAACTGCTCCCTGGGAACCGAATATTCTTTGAGATATTTCTGAAATGGGCTGGAAGGCATAGCTGCTTTAAAAGAAGAGAAAATTATTTTTTCTACACGCTTTGGGAAAACTTATTTTAGAACATACTTGATATTTGGGTAAATAGAGAAATTCATGCCAATCAAACAGGGTGTTTCTAGGACTATAATGTACTTTAATCACCTGAGTGCCTGGCGGCCCCTTCTCCTCCTGCTGTTCATGTTGTTTTGGATTGACACAAAATGTTCCAAATGAACATTTTGCAAACAAAATGAGCGGTGCGAACGGTTCGGCGCAGTACTGAGAACTGGGTCGGAGCGTCCTGAATGTTCCAAAGTGTTTCTTAGCCAGCAAGGGAACGGTTTTCTTTCTTATCACAACGGAGGGCGGATTATCTTTTGGTCCGGTCAACCTCGCCCTTCACATTTTCCTTTCTTCTTTCTGTTCTTTGGGATGTCTTGAAATTACCCATAATGCTCAGCCACATAAGCTAACTGGTTATTGTGTGGGCGAGTGTCCGCAGGTGAAGACAGTATCGCTCTGTATCAAGATCAGCCGTCACGGCTCCACTGATCTCATGCCTTCCTCCCCGTGTGTGTGTGTGTGTGTGTGTGTGTGTGTGTTATCGACACAGCGCCGCCCGCCGCTGAAGAAATGCCTGCTATAACACGCCGCTCCTCGACCCCCCCCCCCACCGCCGTGTCTGCGTGTCACATCCGCTTCTGCTCAAACACGCGTGTCGCTGCTGTCAGGTGTTACAAAGGGACATGTACTGCATTTTACAGCACGTGTACGCCGTGCTGAAATGCCAAACGCTGCCTTATTTTTGTTTTTGTTCTGACGCCGGTCAAGAATCCAGCACTTAATTTTACACGTCGGGGGTTGGAGACGCGTTTTGAAGAAGAAAAGCCATCTGTTCACGGAGAGTTCACTCCTTTTTTGTTTTTTTTTACTCCGTCTAATGCTTTGTTTTGATATAGTTTAGATCACTGCACAAAACTGAATTGTATGCATACCAATAGAAAACAAGCAGTAACAGTGATATCCTCTGAAATGCCAAAAAAAAAAGCCTTGAAACTTAATCTATGGAGCAGATCGATCCACCATGAAGTATTCTGATATGATGCCACTTTTAACAGCGTTTGTGGATGTTCTTGCACTACTTAATCGTCAGAACATAACTTGTCTGTTGATATCGGTATAGTTAGATCTACTTTACACCGTACTGCACTTTCTAATCGCTCTGTGATTTAAGCACTTGGCCTTCTTCGACACCGCGGCGATGATTCGCCGATGAGCTTGAAGCACACGAAGCCCTCTTGTCATCTCTGTTCTGCAGTGCGATCGCAATATCAAGCGCATAGATGACTGTAGAGACGTATTAAATGTGACTCGGCACTTATTAAGCGCAAGAATAAGCGTCCTCTTCCATGTCTTCCATTTTCATTTGATTTTCAACTGTTTGTATTTTGTCTTTCAGTGTGTAGCCGGTGGAATGTTATTAAGATAGTATGTGAGATTGGAGAGTTTACAATTCGTGACGCAATTCTGTTTCACAAATTTTGTATATTTAATAAAGAATATTTTGTGTTTCTTGCTCACCGTATGTTTGGTGGTACATTTTTATCTGTGGTGTGTGTCAGCGTGTGTGCTTTATATGAGGCTAAATACACTGTTAACTGTAAAAGGAAGGGACGTATTATAGGCTTAGTATTATACAACTGCTGTTTCCAAATAAATTCAGTCAAACTATCAGAAGCCACACTGTCACAGTTCATGCTGCAGCTGATTTTGTGTTAATTCTCCATTAAGACGTCTGGTGCCCCGATAACTTCTCTTTTTAATACGCTGTAAACAAAGCAAGTTGTCCTGGGAAGCGTAGTCCTCCACACCAAAGTTAAACGCACGTCGTGTCGAGCGATGCGGCACGGAAGAACTACATTGCCCATGATGCAACGCGGCCGGTAAAGCGGCAGGAAGCGGCTCCGCGGCTCGTGAAGTGAACACCGGTGTCGTCGCAGAGAACCAGCAGACTGGTGCAAACAGCATGTCTGAATATGTGAGATTCCAACACGGCAAGCCTCCTTTCGACCAGGTACTTTTACTTTTAATTTCCCACTGAGGTTTGTAACGTTACGTCCTTTGTGCACCTCAAGCAGCAGAAACTAACGTTTACGTTAAACTCATATACGTCATCATTCATCTTAGACATATTTCAGTCTTAAACCCTACGTTAGTTTTCCTCTTTAGAGCAGCGGGAAAAGGGGGGTTAAAGTTCAAAGTTCATTTGCATTGTTTAACGTGAGAGCCGTTTCCATGTATTTTGAGTATTTATGTAGGACGGCTGCAGGTCACGTGGGAGGTTTGCGCTCTCTCCCACTCACCAGTGTTTGCTCTTAACTGGTCAAGTTGGAATTGCACTGGTGAATAATTGAATTAAATAGATTTTTAAAAACTACTCTCCCCATGCCAAGTTTTTTTTACCATCCATATGTTCAGCATGTCACAAGGCACAGCAGCGAGTCACAAACCAGATTTTCATCCAAATTAGCAGTTAGTGTAATTAAACTGGAGTCGGGGAGGGATGCGGGGGCCTCTCGGTGCTGCGCTGCTGCATCCCGAAACTATTCCTTATGCTCCGTTATGAATAAATGATCGAAAGGTATTTCTGGCTCAGTCATTATATAAGTTAATTGCAAATGGTGTGAGTGGATTTGGGTCCCGAAAAGATAGGAAGCAGTTTTTCTGCGGTATTAATGAGGGGCCTCCACCTGGTGTGTTAAAACAGCTGGCACGCTGTAATGTCACTTTCTTCTGGGCGACAGCTGGAATCTCTCTGCCTCTCTTTGCCAAAGAAAAATCCAGAATCAGATTTGGATGCCTATATTTGAGCATGTTGTTTTTTTGTAGGACGTTTTAATCCTGACTCAGGTGATGAAATTAAAAAAAGACTCTACAAATATATTCTGTCCATGTCTCGCTTTTAACAATAAAAATAAATGAATGTGATGTGTAAAATATTCTTTGCGTGATGTATTATTTTCTTATTTTCCTCTCAGAACACCTTCTTTGGTCGGCTCAGGCACTTCCTGGATGTGATTGACCCCAGCACCCTCTTTGTGACAGAGGTACACAAACTTGGTTATTTGCATTTCGACGCATGAAGCACCACCTAAATAAAGCTACGTTGGTGATGTTGAGAAACTCCAAAAATTCAATATGAAGCAATATAGAACAATATAGAGAGAAAGTCGGCAACACCGACAATCTCAAAATGTTTATTATGAGTGTAAACATACTTCAGTTGGTTGAGTTCTCGTCTGTAAAGTCAAATATAAAGACACCATTTGTACAAAGCAACTTGAACACAAAGTTGTGGAAACAGAACTACTGAATACTGCTGCGCGAGAAGCAAACTTAATGCAGTAACAGAATAGAGGACGAGCTGAGCGGCTGCGATGGAGGAAAAGGCTGTTGCTTACTGATGATTTCTGGAGCCGCGTTCTCCAGGTTTTTCTCCGGGCCTTTGTTGTGTTTTGGTCGCTGTGCTCATGGAGTCATCAGTGCTCTGGTGCTCCGGGTAATGAAGCTGTTAGCGCGCTCTTTGCTGACAGTAATAGCGGCGGTGGCGACCGGGACGTGATGAGGTGTGGACATGTGGGGCAGCTGTGAGGGGTGGAGAGTGTGTACGCTCACACACACACACACACACACACGTTACACCCTGCTGGGCCAGGCGTAGCCCTGACTCGCCCCTAATGACGAGATGGGACACGGGATGACCGCACACACAACCGCACGTGTGCACACCCCAAAGTGCACACCTAACACTATCACACACAAATGCAGGGAAGGGAACATGCACACACACACACATGTACAGATGGCAAGCTCATTAGAACAAATTGGGCCACATGATCTTGTATTTTGCTGAGCATTAGACAGTGATCACAGCACAGTAAGCTGCTCATTACCCTTTAGGGAAGTCATTTGTCGACTAAAAAGCAGCATGAAGGTTTTAGTGAAACGCGCTTATCGTGCATTGAGCTGTGTGGCTATAATAGTGGAATATAAAAAACAGCTCTTAGCCTCCAGGACGGACGCCCCGTTCTACTGACGTTCTACTGACGTTCTACTGACTTCCATCTGTTCGTCAAAACCAGAAACGGCTGCAGGAGTCTTTGGAGCTGCTCGACTGCTTCAAACAGGGAACTCTTCCACCGGGAGCGACAGATGCTCAGGTGAGGACGAGTTGACATCAATGTTTTTCAGGACGTGTTGATTGAGCGACAGAGGGGTCAAAGAACCAGGTGTCTGTGCAGTATTTAGAAGTTATTTATAGACCTAGTCCCTACAAATTTAAATTGTTGTTTTATTGTTCTTTACAGCTTTGGCAAGCTCAGAAAATAAAGCAGGTAAGAGCTTCGTCTCCCCTTCCTTCCCTTTTTTTCACCATCACCAGCCTGCACGGCTATCATCCCCGGTTGCCATGGCGACACATCACATACACATAATGGTTAGGTTCATAACCGAATTTAGATAGTGATCCTCTGTTGCTCCAACTGCACAGCAGAACTGAACCAACCCAAATCCAGAGCTCCTGATCGTCTGACACTAACAATGGCCTCGCTGTTACAGGCCATCATCCACCCCGACACGGGGGAGAAGATCCCCATGCCCTTCCGCATGTCAGGTACAGTCGCTTGGCGTGGAGGCCTCGCGGGATGAGGGATCTGGGGGCTTGTTATGTGGTCCAACATGGAGTCGCGGTTCACCCTGGGAACTGTCACGGCTCAACGGGGCTCTTCGGGTTGTCTGGGGCCTGAAAAAGGTCACACTCAGCTGGGCGCTGATTAAAACCTCTCCCCCACGGAGACCGAGAAGTTCTCCCGCTTCTCCCAAGAAGCCAACACAAGTATTTCTTAAAGCACCTTTTTAGCAAGGAAACTTTGAAGTGTCGTGAAGAATGTGTGAGAGAGGGAGGGAGAGAGAGAGACTTCTCATGCTCGGACCTGCCTGTACATATATATATATATATATATTATATATATATATATTTATATATATAAATATATATAATATATATATATATTTATATATATATTTATATATATATAAATATATATATATATATATATATATATATATATATATATATATATATTATTTATTCAAATTAAATGAAAACCAATTTTGAATATAAGATGATATATAAATGCTGACTCTTTTTTTAAACAGGTTTTATCCCATTTGGCACACCAGTGGTAAGACTTTTTTTATTTTTTGCACGCATTTCAATAAAACTATATATTGTAATTATTCTAAAATAAAAAATGACTTCATGGACGTTTATCCACACATGTGTATATATGTTAAGCGTTCATAAATACATAATATTAAAGACTGGGTAGAGACATTGTAAAAGAGTTTCATCTTTGTGCAGGTTGTTGGCCTCCTCCTGCCACATCAAACGTTGGCGTCAACTATCTTCTGGCAGGTACAGACTTCTCGACTCACTTTAGAAGGCAGATGGAAGCAGTAATTCTGTAGTTCTTTTGCAGCTGTATGATTTTTTTTTAATCTTACTTTTACATTTGTGTAGTTAAATGTGAAGAATCCTCTTTCATTTGGGAGCAACGTTTCTGAATGATGAATGAAGCCGCTGTAATGACTCCTCTTCTTTTGGCCTCTGCTCCCCTTGCAGTGCTTAAACCAGAGCCACAACGCTTGTGTGAACTACTGCAACCGTAACGCCTCCAAGGTACCGAGTCAGTACGTTTTCGCAGACGTCCTGTACGTAAACCGCTGCAGCAAATGTGTTCATATCGTTGCTTTACTCACTTTTCACTTCAGCCGGCTCCAGTTTCCAAGTTCCTTGAAGGATACCTCGGCGCGGTGACCAGCGCTGTCTCCATCGCTGTGAGTCCCCATCATGCTGCTGCTCTCGTGAACGCTCCATGTAAACTCCAAAGATCAGTCGAGGTCGTCGCTCTGCAATATCCGCGTGTTGATCCCTGCTTTCTCTTGGGGAAGAATGTTGATTTTTGAGACGACATTCACGGATGATTGCGGGTCTGCGAAACCTGCTGTTAGGGAGTTCTTACATATTAAAGTGCAGCCATGTTATTTCAAAATGAAATATTGCTATAACGTTAATGTTTAAATAATCCACTACTTCTTAAATGATGTTGTGTACCGGGTTATGGTGACAGATACTCGTATCTTCAGTGTAACTAAATAGCCAGAAAGGAGACAAAACGCACATTAAACTAAGATAAAGAGAAATTTACTGAAATAATTATATATCATTATCCTAATTTTATGTTTTCATACATAAAGGCACTATGTGGCTATTGTGAATTCTCTTCGCCCATCGATAATTGTCTCTTTAGTTGTGATCTGTGCCTTTCAGTTTTCAACGGTCACCACGGTTACCAAAGAAACATCTCATTAGTCTGGTTTCAGTGCAGTTTAATGTTTGAACTGTTTCCCACGCTGACAGAAATAGATTTTCAGGTCAAACGGCAAATATCAGCATTTTAAATGACGGGAGAAATATTCAAATTCAAGCCGGAACCTTTTAATATCAGCCACGACGACACCCTGATCAGTCCAACGTCTTTATTCTCTTTATTTGTACCGTAGTCCGTCACCAAAGAGTGAGATGTCAGAGTGCAGAGCGCAGCACGCGATCACACGGCGGCCCGGCGCGGCCCTCAGTGTGGACACGGGGCTCAAACCGAGCCAATTACTGGTCCCGCTGGGCGCTGATCCGGCTGCTGCCCTCAGGCCTGACAACGTCAACAAGCACAGAGGAAAAAAAGCCCGGGGTGTCTGGAGGGCGGAATGACGGACGCGAGAGGAGAGGAGAGGAGAAGGGGGAGTGGGAGGAGGGGGGGGGCGTAGCTCTCCAATTAAACGTGCGCTCTGGTGACGACCCCCCGCCGGGCCGGGGAGAGCCGAGGGCGGGTTATCTGAGCCCAAAGCTTCCTGACCGGTCTAATACGGGACCGTCTGCAGTTGTTCTTCTTCTATTCGTCTCCCCCTCAAGCCGTTCGTGACAGACCATTTGTCCAGACAGTAAATCCATCAGTGTAACATTTGCTTTGTGACATACAGCCGGTGGCCCGTGCATCTTGTGGTTTTATTTCAGGTGGGGTTGAACGTGTTGGTCCGGAGAGCCCGTCGCTTAGGCCCAACTACCAGGCTTTTGGTGCAGAGGTTCATCCCCTTCCCAGCAGTGGGTGAGTTCAAAGGGCTCCCCGAATGGGACGGGGGGGGGCGGGGTCACACGCATGTTCCCTCCCAAAACTACAGCGATGCGTGTTTGTGATGTTGCTGCTCTTCCTCTTCTCCTTTTACAAATTATTATTATTGTCTCTTTTGGAAGGTTATTCTTTTGTTTCAGTTTTAGTTCAGTTCAGTTTTATTTTATTTAACATTTCTATCTTATTATATTGTATATAATGTGTATCTTTTTATTCTATTTTCTTCCCTGTACATGCTGCTGTGATACCAAAATTTCCCTCTTGAGGGATCAATAAAGTATCTATCTATCTATCTACATATCTGACTGTTCTCTCTGCTATCTGCAAGTCAGTTTTTTAATTTAAAGAAATTAGTGTCTGAATAGACATTGTTTGTTTGGGATCACAATATCATTTTTGTTATTACAGATCGGTTAAGACGCTAATGTTAGTGTTTTAACGGCATGCTTAACATCCGTGAGGTATCTTCTTCTTTCCTGGTTTGGAAAGTCAGGACAGAAAAAAATGCACTTAATAAATGTTCAGCCACAGAACGACCTTGTTTAGCTGCTTTAGACCCGTCGTCCTGTGACCGCCGCGCACGGCGCTCTGGGAGCCGCTCGCTCCTTCCTCCTCCCAGGCCGCTCTGCTCTCCGCGGGGCTCCAGGCGTGTTGTGAGCTCCTTTGTCAGACGTGTGCGGAGCCACAGAGCTGATTTTCGCGCCACTCTCCAGCAAACACGCACCCAGGGGCATAGGCCCGTCTCCCAGAATGCCGCTGGCTCATAATTAAATTGTTTGCCCCCCTCCCGCTTACCATGGCGGCTCTTTTAATTAAATCAACAGGTTTCTACGGCGCAGCCTTTGCCTGGTAATTGGCTGCTTGTTAGAACTCTGCTGCCGCAAACAAATTGGATAATTACCCCTAAAGTGGCGTCTATGTCAAGGCCTCATTTACCTGATTTATGTTTTGTTCATTGTTGTTGCTGTGGTTGTTTTGGTGGGGGCATATATAAGGTAATTAAAGGGGCTAATTGAAGCGAGCCAAAGTAAGGTGCTGTTTGATTTTTTTCCCCCCGCTTCATTTTCTTCGCTTACTTACGTCCAGATTCACTTGTAATAACCGAATCAAGCAGCGGCCTGTCATTCATTTTGATGATGAGGACCTTAACTGCGGGAAAGACTCGCCGCCAGAAATTTATGGGGATGATTTGTTGTATATCGATCACGATTTAATTATTATTAATATTGCCGTAATTATCTGAGATGTTCCTTACTGCACCCGGAGTAAACCGCGAGGTATTAGGCAACAATTAGAATGTAGATAAATGTAATTATTTTAAATAAAAACGAATTAACGCCAGATATTTTAGCATTGAATGATTCAGACTTTTGATTAGACTAATTGATGCAAGTTAATTATTAGTATTATTATAATTACTTGGATGCCTTTTATTAATTGAGCTACAACCCTTTTTTTTTTGCTTCATACTTGCTAAAATCCCGCTATCTGTCCCTCCCTTAATTGGTCTGGATAGAAAAAAATAAAATTTTCCCTTGTAGGTAAAAAGAGCGATTTGCTCAGTCAATTGAATTCCCCTCACAAAGCGACCTGCGAGCCCCGCAGGCGTCTGTGAAGATAACTCCCAACGCCGGTGTCTTAAATTAAAAAAGCCCCCGGCGCCACAACTAAACTCTCTAAAATGAGTTTTTCTTATTCCTATTAGAGTCAAGGAGGAAGGTCCACCGATATTAACATACATTTGGGTTCACTTTGGCTGTCGTGAATAAATCCCGGGGTGACGCCGCGGTTTGTTGACCCATCAGTCACCTTGACTTGAGTCACACACACACACACACACACACACACACACACACACACACACACACGATCTGTATGAAGAATATGTCCCCATACACCGCTGTGCTTTGAGCTAATGCTAACATCATTATGCCAACATGCTCAAAATGAGAACAATTATGCTGATGTTTAACACGTGCAATTTGCCACCTCAGTTACAATGTAAATGTGTGTATCGGTGTTACACGATGGATGCAAACACTGCGTTTTGTTATTCTCTCATTTCCTTTTCTCAGCAAAAAGCCTCAGACGCACCTGTTTGCTTCAAAGCTTCCCCGAATTTCAAGGTCGGGGAAATATGAAATGTTTTCCATTTTCCCCCTGAAGTGTCAGCGTGCTAGCGTCGCTAAACCGTAGCACTAAAATAGATGCTACGTGGAAAATGCTAAAAGCGCATCCTCTCCAACCTCCCGTTCAATTCCTCTTCGCCCCGTCCGATGGTTTGACTTTTAATCCAGATGTGAGCCCTCATTTCTTGCCGTGCCTACCGCGGTACCCTTGAGCAAGGAACTGAACCTCTCCCTGCGTCGACGGCACTGCGCGAGCTGCCAAATCTTAAACCTCAGCCAGCAGGAAAAACAAGCCCGATTTCGTCACGTGTGAGCCAATAAAGCTTTTCTAAAAACATTCCCGCCTCTCTGCAGCGGCCGCCAACGTCTGCAACGTGGTGCTCATGAGGCACTCGGAGCTGTCGGAGGGCATCAGCGTGCTCGACGACAGCGGGAACGTCGTGGGAACGTCGAAAGTAGCCGCCAGGCATGTACGTGGCTTTTTCAGAGTGGTCTCCAGCTGCGTCTTTGTAGTCTGCTTGAATGTCTCTCTGGTTGCGACAGGCGCTCCTGGAGACGGCCCTGACCCGAGCGGTCCTACCCGTGCCGATCCTGATCCTCCCGCCCATCATCATGTCTGTGCTGGAAAGGTAGTTGATACTGGGAGGTTTGTTGGGAGCGAAGCGGAGGGGATCTACCAAATCATTTTACATTCAAATCTAACGTTTGAGTCATGTTTGAAAACGGCCTCAGCGACGTTCACAATTCAATAATGGTGTCAGCTGCGTTTCAGAGACTCACGGTGCCGTTTGGTCTATTTATGAGATGTATTCACAATGACACAAATAGAGCGTAATAATCACTTCAAAGGTTTCATTCTCTTTAATATAAGGACATTTTGTCACAAACAAAAGGGACAAGACTCAAGTTTTAAAATGTTCATCAAACCCGTCTTTAGAAGTGGTGTTGTGGTACAGTCCAAGTTTCATTATTGACCCCTGATGAAATGAAGAATGCAATTGTTCAGATTCCTTCCACAGAACTTTGTATTTGCATTCAATGAACCTTTTCCACCACCTGGATTCAGCGTTGCGTGATGTGACTGTAAGGACGTCTGAATGATGCAACGGCTTTACATCCATCTGTGTGAGTCCCTGACATCACTTGTTCCGCGAGGGAGGGAGGGGCGGGCGAGGGGGCGGGGCTCAGCCAGGTGTGCTCGGGATCCCGGCAGCAGGGTGTGAGAGGGTGAGCCGGCCCGGCGGTTGCAGGCGCGTTGTGTCCTCGCCGTTCCCCTGTGTCGGCTTCACTGGCTCTCAATGGAGCGGGAACAAGGGGACACAGACCCCCCCCCTCCATGATGGATGGCACTGCTGAGAGCCGATTCGGGGCGGTGACAGCGGGGGGCTCTGTCCCTTCTTGAGCTCCATTCAGGCCTGGCCATTGCGCTGAGAATCGCCATGGCAACCTCAGTGCCCAGGTAACAGGAGTCCGGGCGCCGCTCCTCCCCGTAAGCGCCACGGGAAGTAGAGCGGGTCGTGTTGTTTTATGTCGGGAAAGAAATGGAAGGCGCGTTGGAGGAATTTTACCGCCATACAACACATTCTGCATCGCTCGCCTCCGCGTTTGCTCACGTTTGCCGTTTTCGTCCACTTTGCTTCAGGGAAGTGTGAAGTAAAGCAGGACCCGTCGGTGAAGGCCTCGCCCGGCGGGCTTACTGCCGGCAGGTATTTCACAAGCTGCCTTTAAGGTTGCGTGAACACACGAGGGGAAATGTGTTCGACTGTTTAACCATTGAAAAAGAACCGCGAAATTTCATCGGGCCTCTTCCGCTGCTGACTAAGAAGTGCGCCGCGGCGTTCGTCTGATTCCGCTGCGCGTTCCTGCCCACCGCTCCCACCTCCTTTACGAGGGGTTTCGTTTAGTGTCACACTGCTGTACACTTCATTTGGTCCTCCTCACAAAACCTCTGTATACTGAAAATAAAACCCATACGAGTGAATGTACTCATGAATGTGGTGTTTTGATGCGCTAACGTAACGGTGTGTCTGTCTGTAACGGCAGGAATATTCCATTAATTGCTGCTCTCGGGGCGACGGAAAGCTCATTCGCGGCGTCGGAGGTTTTGTGTAAACAGCTCAACCCGGAAAAGACCTCCACCACAAGATGGACGGCAGCCATCTTTTCCTGTGGCATAAAAACTGTGGCATTTATTTAGGATAATATTTTCCCAAACCGTCACTCACAACTTTCTCCCATTGACTTTTCTCTTTGTAAAACACTTCTAAGATGTGTAGCTGCACAAATGTGTGTGTGTGTAGTCTTAATTAAACCATAGAAGCCATATGTGTTAATGAGCTCCCTCATTAGGCAGCAGCTCTCCTCGTTAGGGGAGGAGGCGGTGCTGGTGGAGGAGAGACGGAGCTCCTGCTGAGTCCACCGTCCCGCTCACTGAAGAGGGGGGGGGTTATCCTACATATTCTTGGAGATTGGAGTCTTTAAAACGTGGTTTAAAAACGTCAATCAAAACGCAGCTTTTCTAATGGATGTCACGTGCCTGTGCAGTCGATCCCGCGTAGAATTCTAAATGAATGAGAACGCAAGCAGAGATCGAGCCGCAAACATGAGTTATTTTGAATGGTTGTTGTAGTGAAACTCTTCATGAACAGAAAAGAGCTTTGTAAGTTTGTAGGTTTGTGTTTGTCCCTGAAGCTAAATGCTCCTGAGCCGCCTTCACCCCCGTAGATTCGTTTCAGGTGATGGCGGTTCTTTCTCCCCCGTGCGCCTCCAGGCTTCCTCTCCTGCAGCGAAGGCCGAGACTCGTCCTGCCCGTCCACAGCCTGGTGTGCCTCGCCGCCTTCGCCCTGGCCCTGCCGCTCGCCATCAGCCTCTTCCCACAGATGTCCCAGGTACCCCCCCCCCCCGTACTCGTGAAATCACTGTGCAGTTGCTTTTCCATGTTTTTTGTTTGTTATCTCTGTCGCTGTCTTTGTCTTTCCTCTGCCAAATGACTCGCTGACACAAGGCAACCAGCTCTGGCTTTAGAAACGTGCAGGATTTAATTACCGCGGGAGAAAGCGCAGACGGCCATATGGCAAAAAACCTCAGACATATGTGTCCTGTGAAAAGCCGCCTCCCGCTCCGCAGTGGGGCCTGTTTTTCTGTCGCGTGTTTTTTTTTTTTTTTGCACTTTCCCAAAGATAGCGGGTGAAGAAAATAAATAACTCCCTAAAAAGCAACATGAATGCAGCGCTCCCCTTGGACCCCCTGCCTACTCAATTTGTCCCACTTCCCCGTTTCACACCTCCCGAGATGTCTGATTAGGATTCTGCCTCCAACTCCGACAGCCATCTGTCTCCGGTTCAAATATTAGGAGACGCCAACATCAAATTAGACCTTCATCTGCCAAATTGGCTCCTTTTGCACATTAGTCGTAAATACAGAACATTTAAAAGCCTTTAAGAATTATTTAGCTGCAAATGAAACTGTTTCAAATCTCCCAGCAGCGGCTGGCGTAGATGTTGGCGGAGGCCTCGGCGGCGCGGCGCACGCCGTATGTTAACGTCTGATATCTGACCGCCTGTGACACGTGTTTCCATTTGCACCGTCGACCCACAGATCGGTGTGAATCGGCTGGAGCCGGAGATCGCCGCGGCGACAGATTGCAAGGTGGTGACGTACAATAAAGGCCTGTGAGGGATCTCTGCGGCGCGGCGCCGGGAGACGCCACCGCGGTGAACCTAGCATACGTTTACAGAGAGAGGAACACATGCCGGGACGTGAACTGAGCAGCAACACGGGATGACGTATCAAACATGGAGAATAATACCAATAACGGAGCGCTGAGGCCCGTATGGAGATGCTAATTAATACAGCCAACTTCCCCACAAAGCGCAATTCAATCAGAGTCACGTGAACACGTGCTAATGAAGTCTGAACAGTGGATGAAGTTATAGGTTCAAAATGCCTGTTTCATTTTGTTGAGGTTCTGAGGGAATTCAAGAAATTGTTGTTGTAAATTAGAAAATACTCAAAACAGTCGGAACAGATGAATTATTGTCATGTTCTTAAGAACAGAATGGTGCATAAAATGTGAATGGGGTAAAACCTATGATGGTATTGACTTTAACTCCCCCGTTGGTTACTTAGATTAAGACAATGTGGTCTGAATTGTTTCTGTAAAAACGGAAAGAAGCCTTTGAAAAGACTTTGTTTTTTGTCGTGTTTGTTATTTAATCAACTAGATAAATGTGGTGAGCCGCTGTAGCATCAACTTATTTATGACGTACACATTAAGCTAAATGGAAATATAGTCTGCCTGATTTTGTTTTAGTGCTTTCAAAGCAGAATAATTCCAATTTAAATTCAGAACCGTGAACGTGATATAACATATCGATACGTCTTTTAAAATCCTCTAATAACGTGTTATGTTTTGTATCGAAAACCTTACAATTAAGGTGCTAATCCCAATACATGCTGCAGTAAACAACTACAGTTTAATTAAATGATCAATCTACTGTTTGCTTCCACCTCTGTGTACTGAACACTATACACACGCAGATATTTTACACCCTTTAAAATCTTTTCTAGAAACGTGTCTCTTCAAGCACTATTGTGCGTTCATTTGCAGTAGATTAACGTAACCTTCCTGTTTCCGCGGAGTATTATCTTTGTTCATGGAAGTCAGCCGGGTGACAAGAAGCCGCACGCAGGATCACGAGGCCTCTTTAGCGTACGTCTCAGGGACGACACGTGCATAACTTTAGTTGATGGGATCTCCAGTACACTTCAGTCTAATGTCATGTGTCAGAACCCCATGCAAATAACGCTTTGAAGTCAGTAATTGAAGATGATTCACAATGTCTTTCCTTGTCAGTAGTGAGGCTGTAATTTGTAATTCGGTTGCACGATGCAATGCGTCAACTGTGACAACGCTGCATGATTTATCGCTCCACGTGCAGGTTTATAACCAACAATAAAACGTGTCATTTGTAGTGTTGGCCTAGAAAGAAAAAAAACAAAAAACCTGGAGGCTTCTGTCGTCTCGCAGCAAAACAGGTGATTCAAAGAGTGACGGCGGAAGCGCGCGTCGTCCTACAGTTCGGCTCGCTGACACCTTCGAGGCGGCAGCACCGCCCCCCCCACTCCCTCGCAGCTCCTCCCCTGGAGAGACTCCCTCTTCCCCCCCCTCCTCTCTCTGCTGAATCAGGCGACAGGAGAGTTTCCCCCTTTAATTGTTTTCCCAAGCAGACGCACGAGAGGCTCTCGTTAATCGCGCTGACCTTTCACCTCCCCGAGGTCGTGATCGGCCTTCAGCTAAAGGAGAGGAGAGGAGGTGCTTTTTGGGGGTCTTGAGCTACTGTACCGGGTCGCCTCCTTACTGTGTGTGTGTGTGTGTGTGTGTGTGTGTGCACCTGCAGTGAGTATAGGATGTCCTTGTAACTCAAAACAGCAGGGCCCCCTTTTGCTACTGCAGATGCTTGTAAAAAAGAAAAAAGGTGAGAGTAGGTTTTACCCCTCCCTGCCCCCCCCCCTCATCCACCCGCCCCTCTTCCTCTCTGTTTCTTAGCTTACAAAACAGGACATCGGGGTCAGACGCCGGGGCTCATCTCTGAAGCCTCGGGCTCGTTACGAGGAGATTCCTTCCGTTTCTTTTGACAGGTGATTACTGAGGCGTTTTGGTGAAAGAGCCGCCACACAATAGGACCTACTTTTCCTTTTTTCAGAGGTCTCACCCTCTGGAGGTGAATCACTTCTGGGTCCCCTTTCTGCAGGAATTCAGAGGCGATACCGGCGAAAAAAAAGCTAACACACCTGACACCTGCAAACTGTCCTGCAACATTCCCGACACCTCCGTGGTTTGAGAGGGGGTCGGTGGCATCACACGTATTCATACCTTTTGGACGTTTTAAGGCATGAAACAATCTGAAAATGGATTCCCTTTCTTTGGTTGATCTCTTGGCCTCAGCAGGGTTTTTTTTCCCCTTCCAATCAAACACTGCAGCAGCAGGTTTCACACGTTGCCTCCAGCCGCACGGGGGGAACTAATGAGTGAAACCTGCAGCTCCATGTACAAAGTGAGACCTGAATTACACAAAAAGTCTGACCTTTCTCATCAGAGAAACGGCTTTTATTTCTAAAACATCTTTTTGTAATTACACGTTCTCCTCGAGTGCGTTCTCGTGTGTGGTTTCGTGGTTCTACACCCGGCTCTTGGTGAAACCTGCAGCCGTTGGAGGAGCAGCACACCAGGACCACGTCCTCGCTGCGTCCCGTCGAGTCACGCGCAGCTGCCCGTGAATCGCCTCCGTGTGCCAAAGCTCCACGCAGAGGCGGAGCGCCGGACCGGGTGTCAGTTCACCGATGAACCCCCACCCAAAAAATAATTATGCTGCAGATTTGGGTTTTTCTTTCACACATTGTTCATTTCCTGTTTTGTTCCTCTGGCCTGTTCAGCCAACAGGCCCGAGGGTGGGGGTGAGGGTAGGGGTGGGGGTGAGGGTGAGGGTGTCTAAAAGTGTGCGACGACATCATCATTCAGATTAACACGGTACACAGGTGGCAGAGCGGATGGGCTGAGTAATGAGGTGTTAATGACCTAAGATGGTGGCAGAAAAGCCGACTTAACAAAACGAATGGCCTCTTTTAAAGAAAACCCTTTATACACGTACAATATTTTTTTAAAAACGAATGGACTGCGATAGAGGTTTGCCGTGGTTTCCCGTCACCCGTGGTCGGATCTCTCCTCATCCGCATGTCTTTAAATAAGATGTGGGTTTTTTTTTCTTTCCAGTGTAGCACCCCAATGAGGAGAAGAACAGCGATGACGTATTTAGTCCTTCCTCTAATGTGTCTAGTTATACTTAATAATATTACATAATAAATAGTGTTGGTCCTCTGATGCGGCGGCATCGTCGTCGTTGGGGGCTTTTAGTCCTCCGAGGTGACGTCTATGTCCTCGGAGCCGGGCTGCTTGGTGGCCATGCGCCATCTGTTGATGTGGTGGTTTCCCTTCTTCTTCTGCTGGCTGTCGGGTCCCTCCTCCTCCAGCTTCTGGCGCTTGTACTTGGTCCTCCTGTTCTGGAACCACACCTTCACCTGGACGGGCAAGCACACCGGGTTGGACGCCGGACGCACTGACTCAAACACAAACAACAGGCAGTGGAACTTTCTCTAGTTCCAGATTGTTCCAAAATGTAATGGAGCCATCGTTCATGTTTTTAATTGTATCAGATTGAGGGGCCAACTGACAACAAGAGTAACAGAGAAAGAACAGGTCTAAAGTAACATCTTCAAATGTTGTTTGTTGGATTATGTTCACGCAGTTTGCAGAGCATCTTCAAATTTGAGAAAAGATTTAATTTGTTTCAGGGGCTACCTGTGATTTTCTTAATCTAACAAGTTGTAATGTCTGTTGGTGTGTCACTCCCAGATCAACATTTTACAAATGTACCATGTCTATGGTTATTTTATTATTTTTAAAACAATATAAATATTATATATATGGTTCTATTTTCTTCCTAAAATGTAATTAAATTCATCTTCTGTAGGCTTTAGTGGTTATTTTTACTTTCCACTACATTAAAACTCACCTAATCATACGACCAAAGTCTCCATTCGCCCATCAAAACACCAAAGAGCTTGTTTTCAACGAGACTGACCCGCCTTGCTTTTGAGTTTCCTTCCCTTCATCCTTTTGGCAAAAGGCCCCTAAAGGATTCTGCCATAGAAATAAAACCGCATCTTATCTCATGCTGATGATTCCTGGCTGTCGCTGTGACCTTAGAATATGAGCTCGGCAGAACATTTTTTTAAATAGCAACACAGTCCACTCATATTATTGTTATTGAAATTCGTGATTATGGGCTATACAAAATAAAATGAATTGAATTGAATATTAGCTTCAGCCTAGTTTGCTTTTTGACTAATTTTACATTATAGCAATAGTTGTCACATTATAAGAGCCACAGTGTACTTTATTAGAGCGGGGTGTTTGTGTTCGTGTCTCCATGGTGGAGGCAGCGCTGGTTGGAGACTTCAAGAACAGACCCAATATGATGGAAGCAGCCACAAAAGAAGGTGGAGCAGCAGCTGTTTTATTACTTTAGCTTCCATTATTTTCTCTCCCAGCTTGTCGCTTCCTTCACCTGCTCAGGTATTGAATAATGATGTCCATTTATGACCTCACTGACGTCACTCCACCAGGCTGCTAGTCCGCGTGTCGCTCCATAAGTGCTCACTCTGAAGAAGCAAGGCCAAACAACAACCTAATGGGATAATTAACATTCACTTCACTGTCATTGTAATTTGCATAATGCGATTGGTGCGTAATTGAAGATCTCTTGTTGACTGACACAAAACTTGCAAGCAGCATTTATCCATATTGCTGACTCAGGAAAGCTCTCTTTATATTGCCTATTAGGCCTAATTGAGACCGAGATAGTGTGGACTCATTAAACATAACCAGCAATAACATTTGCACTCCATCCTATGGTGTGCACCAATTAAACACCTTTTAAGAGACACTTTCACTGACTACGCTGCAGCCATGTCTCGTGTGTCTGGGATTTAAAACAAATGTATTGGATTGCATGGATTTAAAAGAAAGGTTTTGATTTCATTATGAAGGTGCAATACAGCCACAGCCATGCAAGATGATTTCAAACTGTTATCAGCATTGTAGTTAACTTGCATCTTGATGCAGGATTCCCTCATTTGTAAATAACAGCAGTCCAATAATCCAAATCACTTATTATTCAACACTTAAACTAATGAAACATTTCATTTCATTCATCAAAATTTGTTCTTCAGATATTTACAATTTTAAACATTCAGGAAACATGAGTTGCTGTTATTATTAGGCTGCCATTTATTGACATGCCATTATCAGGACTTAACCGCGGGTTATTTAAAAATGTTCATTTTTATGGTTTCATTTAATTTGTTGGTGAATAATAGAGTACATTTTTTTGCGTATGACTAGTGAGTTAGAAATGGACGTTTTGTTTTAATTATCCTCTAATTACTTAACACATTAAACCAATATTAAAATATACAAGCCCCAAAATACCTTAGAAATTAGACTGAACTGATAATATTCCTGCCGTTTTCTTTTTAATGAGTTTAATTTTTAATTATCGCGATATTAGAGAGCAGCGAAAACAACGATCGAATTTGCGATTTAGCGGAAGCGAATATTGTTGCCATGGAGATCACTGCCCCCCATTAAACAAAAAACACTTTAAAAAGTTAAATCCTTTGCGCCCTTTTAGCGCTTTGCAGTTAAAATGCTAAACATTTTGCAAAGAAAATGCTAAAACTATTTGGCGGATTAGAACCGACCGCATTTCAGAGAGAGGCGCAAGAAAATATAAAAACTAGAAAGCGACGGTAAGCTAACGTAGCATGCTAGCACCGCGTTAGCTCACCTGTGTTTCGGACAGACTCAAGCCGTTCGCCAGCTGCTTCCGCTCGGCCCCCACCACGTAGTGGTTCTTCTCGAAGGCTCTCTCCAGGCGCAGCAGCTGGGACGGAGAGAAGGCCGTCCGGATGCGCTTGGGTTTCCTGGCGAAAGGGCCGTGGAGGAGCAGGCTGTCCTGCGGCACCTCGTTACCTGTCAGCGGAGGAAAAACAACAACAGCGACGACATGGCCGTCAGTCGGGGGCCCTTCTCAGGTGACACGCGTCCAAATCACCGCTCGTCTTTATCCGGACAGCACGACCTGTCTGTCAACAAGCCTGCTGGCCCCCGGTTCATGGATCCGAAGCGGCGTGACAAAACTCCCAATACATGTACAAATATAGTATTACGTCTGCTATAAGTCCAATAGAAATACCTAGTAGTTGTGGTCGAAAGCCCAATAATAGTAATATAATGCCGTTGCCCTATACAATACCATTCAACGATTAAATATTTCCCAATAAATTAACGTTAGATTCTTAAAAAACGTTTTTTTTCCCCCTCAAATTATTATTTATTTCCTCAAAGTAACAATTGTGCTTTTGTGTATTGGACTTTTAAATTGTTGTAATATAAATTCTATGCAAGCCTAATAAAAACCGTACGTCGATAACAGGTTTTTAGTTTTTGTATTTTGTCACCAAATGACTCAACTCGGTTCTAGTCTTGAATTAAAATGGACATCAGCTAAACAATTATAATTACTAACGTTAGTTTAATTAAATTGACTGAAAAATATAGCAAACATAATACAATTTCAAATGATATCGTGTTTTCTATATTTTTTCATATTTTTGATAGTGTGTGTTGTTGTGTGGTTGTTTTTCCCAGTGAATTATGCTTAAAGATCTTATTAATTCATTCAGCTTCACCCGTATGCGATATTTTGTCGAGCGCGTGTAATAAATTCAACCAAAGCTATTCCGAGAAGTTCGTATATGTTTATTTCAAGTTGAAACATTCTGATATAAGAAAGTTGTTCTCATCCTCTGTTTACACTGAACTTTTATTTTAAGGTTTTTGTTAGACTAATTGGTAGTTTTTTCTATTCTGTGCTCTTGCTGGAGGCATTGTGAGATGTACTAATCATTTAGTGGTATATTTACATGAAATCAGAATTTTATGGATTTTCTACGGATTCGTTCTTCATTGTACTCTTCTTTTTTGTCCAAAACGGTATGCCATAAAAGTGCTAAAAATAAATAAATACAAATAAAAGTCATTACACATTATAATTAATTTGGTAATAATTAATAATGCCCATTTGCGGCGGATAAACAAATAAATCACTGCAGGCCGCGTTGATACCGTGACACGCTTTAGCTTGTTCCCATTCCATTCAAATTAATATATTTTATTCATTTGTTTCTCTGCAACCCGGCTATAATATCGTCTGGGATGAAAAGAACCTCGGGCGAGTTTTCTTGTATTGAATAATAGAATCATCTCCTGGCTTTGTGGGAGTGGAGCTGCGGGGCGAGTGGAAATATGAGAGCAGCCGATATCCTGCTGCAGTTTATTGTTCAACTGAGACACTTTCAATGTAGACATCCACGCACAAATACCTCTCCCCTCATCCGCATATCGGAGCACAGCTTCACTTTGATAACACGCATGCAAGTAGACCCAATAATTCGGCATTTTATGTGCAGAATAGCGCATTATTCGTTTATTGAAGTTGTATTCCGGCATGAACCACTAGCAAACATCGTAATAGGTGGTATAAAAGTAGGCCATGTAATTAAAAAATCTGTATTGCATCGCCACCACTTCACCTTATCCCGTACCTTGAAACCGGTGTCCGAAAAAGCGGTTCCGCAGGACCCAGGGGTAGAAGTTGAGCGGGTCTCGGTGCTGCGTCCCGAAGAAGTGCGGATGCTGTAAGTGGTGGGAGCCTCCGAGCTGGTGGGGAGCCACGGTGAGGGAGGGGTGGTTCTCCGGGAACACCAGGTCCGGGCTCTGGTAGAGGGTCCTGGCCGGCGGGTTCTGGTAACTGTTCATTAAGGCATCCGTCGTCGGGTTGGAGTAGCTCAAAGCCGTCGGACGGATGGGGTCCTCGGGGATTAGAGGGTTCTCTTTGGCGACCAGAGACTCTATGGTGAAGCAGCGTTTGCCTGCAGAGGAAAACATCATCTCTGGACAGAAGTAGAAACCAATGTGCCCAAAAGGAGGTCTTCTTCTTCTTATTCTTCCCTCCCTTCCTCTTGCTGGAAAATAAGCCAACCTCCCTCTCAGAGATGCATCGTGACCAAAGCAGAGATGCTGCTACAAAACTCAACAGTGCTGCAAATTGCTCGGATCCATGAAGTCTGCGCGCTCTCGGGAGGGTTTCTGTGCACAAGTGCGCACCAAGGAAACGCTTCTCCAACCCTTCAACGTGGCTGCGCGCTGCGCAGGGAGAGATCTGATTGGACCGGAGCACCTGCCAATAGGTCTCCTCAAGGGCCTGCTTCAAAGATCTCACAAGACCGGGCAGCTTGGTTACAGAGACACGCTGAGAAAACATGTGCGCCTCCAATTAATGGCTCATTGTGGGTCCCATTCAGCCCTAATATCTGGTTTGTCTTCAGGGAAACCATCCGCCGACGGAGGGGAGAACAGGCACTGGCCTCAGTGCCTGTTCAGCGTGTTCTCTAGAAGGGACTGTGCACAACACATACAAGAAAATGAAACCTGGATAAAGGTCTCGTTTGGACGAGCTGGATTTCCTCAAGCTGCTTTGGTTGATCTTAAAACGTTTAATCTTTAAACTCTGATTGGGTGTTAAATAAAGGCTGCAGAGGTCAGTTCTTCACCGCCTTTCTTCAAACTTCTTCTCCACGTCTGATAAAACAACCGGATTCAGGTGCGAGCTGAAATATCATTTTAATCAACAAGAAAAAAACATCTCCCCTTTTCCTCAGCAAAGAGCCTATTTGTTCGCCTTTAACTGGTTTATTTTTTTCCCACGTAACACGTTGAAAGTTGTCTGTTTAAAAATGATATTGTGATATTTCAAACGATACAACGTGTTGTATACATGACCACCAATTTAATATCAACCCAAGTATTCTCTCGTTCTTGAATATGCCTCTGTTCTATTCGTTGTCGGGGGGACGCAGAAGAACAGCTTCCCTTCGGGCTTTTCCGATGCATTAATAACATAAAAATCAAAAGACGATCATATCTGACCATAACATGTTTGTTTGGGGCTCGGCTCCGCTTCCCGGCTCCGCTTCCACTAACCGAGTTAATCATTCTCCATTTAATACGCTCTAGTGTTGCATTAGAAAATCATTACCGATGGAAATGAAGAGGTAAAACAAGTTGTTGATTAGACGTTTAGAGCTAAAGGCTCCTAAAGACGGCGGAAGGTTCTGGTGAACCTGGAGAGGAAAAAAAGCACCACAGTCGTTGTTTTTAAAACAGTGTTGTGTGACAGAAATCTGTATTTATTCACTGTAACAGTAAGTTGTTGAATAATTAGAAACTCCCAGCCCAGTTATTATTAGTTATTATTTATTCTTCAAAACACAAATCTTTTTCAGGTCACATTTAGTTTTTTTTTTAAAAACATTTTTACCCAGAGCGCAACAGAAGGAACTTGCGGGCCGAGCCGGAGGATGAAGCCCGGTGGCCTTTACGCGCTGACCCTGATCGCTGCTGGTTAATAGATGTTCAAATGGCTCTGCATTAACAGAGACTAAGCGCAGCAGTCCACCTCCAGGCGACACCCCCCCCCCCCCTTTACCCCTCCACCCCCCCTCTGGGAAAAAGGAGCAGTGCGTTTTCGATGGTGAGATTCTCCGATAGTAGTTTAACATTAGTGGCGCGTTGAGATCCTTCATTCTTATTGCGTATCATTTGCACCAGACTGGATATGATAACGTGTCCGCATTATGGGATGTCTGCAGTGGTCACAGCGTGTTACACATTGGCCAGTGAAGTGAACTAAAAGAGGGAATAGTTAACATCAAAGCGCGTAACGAGCTCGTGCGTGAGAGGGCGCATTCCTTTTTGGTTGTTCACGTTCAGCTGGGCCAAACTAACCACCACTAAACCACGGAGAGAAAGAGTGTTCTTTACCCGAGTATCACTTAAATACTTGATGCAAAAGAAGCGTTATTTAAAGACATTCTATTTCACTTCAATTCATTTTATTTCACCAGGTGATCCAGTATCAATACTGCTTTACAGAGCTAGCTGTCGCTTTCTAACAATTTGTAAAAAAAATATGAGAGGTTTTACAAATATATACAAATATATATATATAAGTATATATATAGGCAGCGCTTCAAGCTATTTCATATTGTATATCACACGATTACAAATTACTTCGACCCATAAGCTCAACAAACCAACAATTATTGCAAAAAGGAAACAAAGTTTCCTCTAATAAAAATAATTCTTCAGTAACACCTAAGTAGCAGATTTAAAGGAAAAGTCTATATATGATATAATATGTTTCACAGGTTAATTTTCTGTGAAAATGTGTTTTCATGGGAAAAGAGGGAGAAAGAGGGAGAAGAGGTGGATGCGCTCTAGTGGCTGAAACGAGCTCATGAGGGTCTCATCTGATTAAACATGATGAAGAAATATGATGTTTTTTTTGGTGGTGCTCGCCGGAATAGAAAAACGAACTCAGTGACGTATTACAGTAGAAGTGAGTTTTAACTTGTATGTCCTCTCTGGGGGTTAGGGTTAAATAATCATTATTATAATGCTTAGAAATGTGTTTCGTCTCATTGAAAACTGGTGATAAACCTTTTTACACCGTTACACCTGATGTCCATGTTGCTCGGGGGTCTGTGTAAGTAACGTGTGATGATCCTCTTCCCTCCAGGAGGGGGGGGGGGGGGGGGGGGCCACTCATGGTCCACTGTTTAACCGATGCTGCCATCTAGTGGTAGAAGGACGTCGGGGCCTGTCGGCAGGATGCGTGGGTTTCCTGCAGAGTTCACCTTTGACCTCGGTTGGTTTCCCCTTCCAGTTCCCAGGGGCCGCAATCCAGCTGTTTCAGTGGATGATGAGGAATCTCACCGCGGTCACACTTTCTAAAGTAGCATTTGGTGGGGATGAGCATCCTAATAAGAGACGAGTTTGAGTTTCAGATGTGAGTAAAGTGGAGCGAAGACAGAATGTCCTCGTCAGTGCTTTGTTCAGACAGCAGCGGATCAGACCTGCAGACACAAACTAAGCTCTCAGGAAAACAGAAATAGCCTCAGCAACTCCTGCAAAGCAAAGTTAGCCGTCGCCAAACTGAATCATGTAATCCTCAAAACATCTCAGTCGTGTTTCGTCAGGTAGCATCAATCTTTTGAATGGTCATTAAATTCTACAAATTCCTTTGAAAGTTTGATGCGCCCGGTACTGCTTGGCCTTTTGTCCCCTTTATTAAACGGGGATCTCAAGCTCTTTACTCGTGAATTGGATGAAGAACCCGCCGAGCCTTCATTAATAAACTAATTGGCCGTTTTGTTTCGCATTAGCTTTGTGTGTTCAGCTAATCTGTCCCACTTAAATACGGGCAAAATGTCACCCCGTTATAACGAGACGGGAGAAGTAGCACGTCGCTGCGTTTGTGGCACCCGCACGAGAAGTGCTGTCGTTTAGCCACCTGTACTGGCCCCGCCCCCCCCCCACACACCGGCTCCCCCCCTCGGGATAAACAAACACCCGCTTTTGACACCGCGGTCCGATGGAGAAAAAGGCCGTTGATCTGTTGAGCGTCATCGGCCGCGTTCGAAGCCCGAGGAGGGTTCGTGCACGTTTCCCTTCACACGTGATTCCATATAAGTGGCACATGAGCATGTTGCTAAATGAGGTATGTGATTATTACGTGACACGTGAACCAAGACGCAGTGATCTAGTAGAAGATGACACCATTGATACCGATGAACGCGTGCGGGAGGCTGGTGGTGGTGTGCGTAAAAGAAGCACGCTGGATCAGCAACCGGCTGTTTGGAAAGACGGTTTTCGGAGAACCCGAGGAACCTCTATTCCCTGGGAGAACCCGAGGAACCTCTGTTCCCTGGGAGAACCCGAGGAACCTCTATTCCCTGGGAGAACCCGAGGAACCTCTGTTCCCTGGGAGAACCCGAGGAACCTCTGTTCCCTGGGAGAACCCAAGGAACCTCTGTTCCCCGAGTCCGTCCTCCGCACATGTTGCGGACGAGGAGGAGGCGAGCTGCGCCGGTCAGAAGTCATTGTGCGGCCCTTTCAGGTCGAGACAAAGGGGGCTTCTACTTCAAACGCTTGTAATGAAAGCTAATGACTATTAGATGGAGTGAAGGGTCCCCGACTTTGCAAATAAAATGCAAAGAAGGATTTTTTTTTTTTAAACAATCGACCACCCTAAAACGCGCGTTATTCTATTGGAGTTGGAGGTTGTTTCTCTCCATGAGAACTTTCACACCTTCTCGCAGGAGCTGCAAGGCGTTGGAGTCATGTGATGAAGGCCATTTCAAACCTAGGGAGCAAATATGTTTTTAAAGGTATTAAAATATGAGGCAGTCAATAACAATAAGGATGATTGATAACACATACACCCATTGTCATAACTTATATTTTAAAAAAAAATATATATGTATTGATCAGACATTTTTGTTATTATTTTAAGAACAGATGCCAAACCTTTGCTAATTCTTTTTCGTAGGATCGGACATATTTGGGAAACAGAAAATATGAAAGAAAACGTTTTTAAAAAAGGAAAGAAAAGTTGTTTTATTATTTATTTGTTCTATTCCTCCTTACTTTTTAGGATAGTCTCCAGAAATTGGGTAATTTATTTATCAAGCATTGCTGCACAATTTAGAGCAATTGGCTGCAGCCCACATTTTTTTCATTGTTAGTTTAATCTGTAGAATTCTCTGATTTGTAAAATTCCAGGAAACTGAACAATGTCACAAGATGACGTCTTCGATTGGGATTGTTCTAATCCACACTGTATCAGATGGAAATCCTCCCATTTGAGAGGCTGAGACGAGCATTAGTCCGCTCCTCCCTCTTAGAGAAACAATGAATCGCATCATCAAAGTGTCTTCTGCCTTCAACTAACTGCTCCAGAAAATACAGTACAAGCCAGCAAAGACACAGTACGTTGTAACGTGGACGAACCTTCAACTCTTACATTGTTGCCACAGGAGTAAAAGCAGCATGTGGAGACGTGACGGTGTTGTCTGATAAGCAACTTCCCCGTAGAAAGTGTCTTAGGAAACTCAGCGCTTGCTTGTTTCCAACCGTTAAGGTGCCCTGTGCTAATTGGGACACCCCCCCCAACCCCCCTCATCCCCAGGACTCTCCAGGCTTTCCCAGGCCTCTGACTGCTTCTTTCTTTGCCTCAATGGGATTACGTTGGGCTGTGGGGAGGAGGAGGAGGAGGAGGAGGGAGGCTGATCACATCAGGAACGGCTCTCTGGGGTTTTTGCACAAATTCTGCTCGCTCGGCCTTAATCAGACGGAGAGACACCAGGAGACAGCAGGGGGGGGCAGAGTAAGAGATCTGCTCGGTTAGCGTTTATTAAACTTCTCCCTTTGATACCGTGACCTGCCGCCGTCTCCTTCTTCTCCCTCTCACTGCTCCTCTGCTGCATGTGTTTGATGGGTTTACACAGAAGAGCATTCTAAATGTCCCCGACGTGGAACAGCATTACAAGCAGCTCATCTGATTTTGCTTTCACTCATCTTCTTGATGGAGGAGATTTTCTTCACGGAAGAGGGACCTTTATTCTCGAGTGTTTTGCTCAAGAAATTGCTGCATTTACATTACAGATCAAAAGCAAAGGGGGGGGGCGGTTGGTTGAACGCTTCTCTGGACACACAAGTCTCGTACGGCTGTCTAAATCTATATGGAAGGTAAAAGTCTGTGATAATACATTCATCACCTGGAAAGTTATAGTGAAACAAACGCGAGGATCGTGGAGGCTCAATGCGCCGTGGTTCTCCGCGGGACGGGACTCTCGTGTCCACCAGCGCGATTAGCCGCTCTGATGGACTCATTAGCTACGTCCCGATCCGTCCCGGACCTCCTGGTTCATCCCTCATGTCTGCCAGGCCGGCTTCAGCAGACAGCGGGAGCTGCTTCCACCTGAAGGGACGACCAGGCGTCTCAATGGAGCCCGGGACGGGACACCTGCCGAGTGGGGGGGGGGGGCCCCGTCTGTTGAGGGGCAGTGAGAACAGGCGTATTGACCGTTTAAACAGATTAAACAGTGAGACCCAGCATAAGCCCTGAGCGGGTTATTTATTTGCTTAGCTCGAACCAGAGGGGAACCCGAGTCCGTCCCAGACTTCAGCGCGGATCCAACCGAGGGGGAAATGTTCAGAGTGGGACGAGAGGAGCAATAAGTGGAGGTCAAAGGGCGCGGCGATGGTTTGATGGGATACATTAGACAGGTTCACTCTCTTAATCAGTTTCGGACACTGATCTCAATCTGGTCACATGTTTACTTCAATAATCAAAGTGATCTCCTAATGAAAGTGCTTACGTGCTCTTGAAATTGAAACGCATTTGGTTGAAATGAGTCAGATTTGACAACACGTGTCTTTGACATTTAGTTGTATTTCTAAAAGATGGCCCCACTTTCTCATTTTAAGAGTTTTCTTTAACATTAAAATACAAGATGAAAGTTGAAATGAGTTGAACATTTCAGATTTGAAAATCACATTTTAATGAATTAAATATTTTAAGAAGTGAATTAGCTTGGAGTCATTTGAGCTGATTCTAAACAAACATCAACAGCCATCAGGTTTTTTTATCCTGATTATTGGACAGAAGAGTTTCGTTTTCCAAACTGATCCTGAAACCAGTAACAAGAACACAGAGAAAAACATCTGAGGAACCGGATGACTTTTGTTACTGCGTTTGAAACTGAAGCGTCTCACCTGAGGCAGCAAAACGCGCTGTTAAAATGTCCCAGCTGTGTCACATGTGCAAATAATAAATGGGTTCTGTAAATGTAACCTTTGACCTTTAACACCTGGCCAAATACGATGGAATAAACACGACACTGTTGGCATTAATGTCATAAAATATATTTAATCATGTCATTCAAATGTACCAAACAGGCAAAGTGAGTTTATCAAAGAGCAAGAACATTTAAATATATAACTATAAATCTATTAAATATCCGTATTTGGAGACACAGGCCCCCTTTTCTCAGCAGTATGTACAAAAAGTCTCAAAGAGTCCAGTGGTGTCCGGTCAGCAGTGCTCAGCAGAGTCATCTGACACGTCAATGTCCACGTCCAGGTCGGAGAACTCCTCGTCCTCATCCACTTCGTCCCCCTGGCCCTCGGATCCGGGGCTTTTCAGCGGGGCGGCCAGGCCCAGCTTGGCCAGCTTGGCCTGCTGCTGCTCCAGACTCTGTTTGCGCCACTTGATGCGTCGGTTCTGAAACCAGACTTTGACCTGGAGAGCGAAACAAACACGAAATTCATTTGAGAACAAAATCCAGTATAGCAAGCAAGTGTAGATACGATACGTTTCTGTTGCTATGTGTCTAAAAATGTCTCCGTTTCTCACCTGAGCTTCTGTGAGCTGGAGGGCGGAGGCCAGGAGGAACCGCTCCGACCCCACCATGTACTGCTGCCGCGCGAACTCCTTCTCCAGCCGGGAGAGCTGCTCGCTGGTGAAGCTGGTGCGCATCCGTTTCGACTTGCCACCTTTAGTTTTGAAAGCATGCAGCCCGGCGTTCACTTTGGACATGGAAGCTGCAAAGAGAGGTCGCGTTTAATCACACTGCCGCGCTTCATTTAGACGTTTAGGGCTCGCTCGGATACATCCGATGCATAGTGAGAGAACTCTTTTTTTTTTTTACCTTGTGCGTAAAATGCTCCGCGACACGAGGACGTGTAGGAGAAAGGTGGGCAGCAGTAGACCGAGTATCCGGGCTGCGCGTGGAGCACGGAGTGCAACATGTTTGGAGAGTAGACGTAAGGTGACGCAGCCATCGGTAAGCCCGCGTGTCCGGCGAGAGGCAGAACCGGGTATCCCGGATGGCATTTCTCTCCGCACGGGGGAGGACTCGCCCGGCAGCTGGTTGCGCTCGCCGGCTTGGCGAGCAAAGCGTCGATGGTGAAAGATTTCCCGCTGGCAGGCTTCGTCGTCCCCTGGTACTGCGGGTAGAGCGGTGCCGGTGCGTAATTACGCACTGAGTATCCATAAGCTCCCACCGGTCTGTTGGGCACCTGCATTCTGACCGACGCTTGTTTCGGGTTGAAAATGGGTGAAAAAAGATCTCGATCCTTTCCAGAAATCAAGGCGATGGTCCGAGTGCAGCAGGAAAGTGAATGCTGGTCGTCCTGCGGAGGCTCCTCATTTATACCCCAGCCGGACACGGAGGTGTCAACAGCCCCCCGTCGGCCCTTTGTCTTTCTAAGTAGCAGATGAGAGAAACGAACATCCCGACATCGTATCCAATTAATTGCTGGAGTAGTACAAGCTGGGATTGTCAAACATCCTAACCCTTTGAATGACAAGGCTTTTGAAGCGCCGGGGGGCGTGGGAGGGAGGGGAGGTGGACGGGGAGGGGGGGGAGGGGAGGGGGGTGATGGCAGGGAACTCAGGAGATTTACTGGGATACAAGTTCTTGCATGGATCTTAAGTCCAAATGTAATCATTACCGCTGGGAAAGCCTTGATGTTACCAAATCATCCTGTTTGGAGGCTTTTATGTTGCTTTAAGCAGCGGAACAATTGGAAGCCGATTTCAAGCTGCAATAACAGAGAATTCACTGAGTTGAACACGACTTTATTTTTATCTTACAATCCTTTCGACGCACTTTCTCCAACCTCATAGTTTAGGGGCAGTCGAGACTTGTGATCGTCTCAAGCAGCTTTAAATCAAGAGCCGCTCCTGTATGTAAATTCCCATCATCTATTTTTTTTTTGTCCAAAATGAATGTGCCCTTTTTCCAGAGTGTGATTTTTAACAGCTGCGGTGTGACTCTCTAAAACGGAATAACTGCCGTGCGTAATTGAGGCGTCAGATTCAGCGGGTCGGATGTTTTTTCTTTTTTCTTTTTTTACCGAACTGTGCAACTCCGCTAATCTCAAGCACGGCGTTAATCCACAGGTTGATCCATCCCATCCTGCGATGGTCGGACAGGGAAAGGCCTCTGCTGGGGTTCGCTCCTAAAACCAACCCTTTAATCTGCAGGTTGGATTCATTTCGTGTTCAAACACAAAGCTGCGTGTGAATGAAATAAAAAGCGACCTTTACTGTGAAAAGGCACATTTTGCTGTTCCATCGATCTCTCATTTAAAGGTTTGAAGATGAAGACGCGGCTTCTTTAAAGGAAGTGATTTGCTTTCTTACACAAAGACACAAAGGCGTCCTCTCTTTCAACTGGGATTATTGCCAGCTCTGCAAACTCTCCAGCCTCATTTCCATCATTTGGAGGTGGCACGGAGGCTCCGCGCAGCCTTAAGTAACTGTTAAAACACATTTAAACGCCGCAGCGAAGCGCCCGTTCCCTTTGACCTCGCGCCCTTCTATTTATCCTCTTTCACTGACACTAGAATGTCTAATGACGACGGCAAACACAGACTTTGTCGACCTGGCCTGAACAATAAGGATGCTTCTTGTGATGCCGGTACGACCGGACCACCCACCCCATGCGCGCTGTTTGCTGGCGCGCACTGCAGAAAAAGGCCCCTCCGTCCTGACAGATCTCCCAATTCACATTCACTGTTGAAACCTCGAGTTAACATGAAAGCTGCCCGTCAAAGTGACGCGTTCGGTGAGGAGTGCAGATGTTTCTGAGGCCAACCGGGCGTTTGAAAAAAGGGCAAAGTACGGTTTTTATTTGCAGAAGCAGCGACAACGAGTCAAACTAATGTGGAATTAACAAAGAACAAAAAGGCCAAACAGTGAACTCCACTTTGACGAAGATGAACTGAATGAGTGAATGAAACATTTGAAGGCTTCATGTTGACCTTTGGAAACTTCTGTTGCACATTTTAACATGTATTTGAATGTTGTATAGGCTAAAGAGTTAATGGGTGAGAGCCCTGCACATCCAGTGAAGATAAACCAAAGAGAGGACTATTACGGCCTCTTGCTCCCGAGGGCTCCTGCACAGTTCTGGCTGAATATGCTGACGTGTCTTTCTCGTGATATCGGCAGTGAACCCTGCGTGTCCTCTCACGATGCTGCAGTGAAGGCAACGTGTCCCTTGTGTATTGGAGCCAGACAAGGAATACACGGCCCATTGTCCCGGAGAGTCCTCTTTACATAGTCATGGGCCGAGAGGAGAAAGAAGCTGAAGGGGCTGCTCGCTAATGGCTCTATGCCCCCCCCCCCCCCCCACCAACAGCTTGAAACTGCTCATCAGCACTTCATTCAGTATCAGCTATTAGCTGCAGAATGCAAAGTGGTCTCCTTTTAGGATTTGCTTTCACTTCTAGAAGCATTAATAAAGCTATTCGATTCAAATATTTCAATCTTAAGCATCTCAGTGTGCAAACAACTCATGCAGGAACATCTAGTTCAATCAAATGGTCACATACTCTGTGCATTGTGGTGTTTAGCATATGTGGCATATTAATGATGCAGAAATGTATGTTTGGAAAAACAACTTAAAAGTGATATAACTCTACAGTTATTCTCCTCAATAAAGGTGAACGTACCAGATGTAAGTTAATGGTAACAGGGACAACGGTGTGTCTATTGCAGCTTTGTGAATTAAAAAGTAAAGTGATTATTATGAAGTTAAGTTTTAATTCTTAAGGAGCTCCCTTTCCAGGTTTGTTCATTTTTTGATTGTCATATTATAAATTATGTTTGGATCATGTTGCGTTAACATATGTTGTATTTTCTTCACAATCAATAGAGATTTGTCACTAACACTGTCTGTACAGTCAAAAGTAAATAGTGAAATAGTAGCAAAACATGCAAAATACTCAGAGCACCTTAAAAGTTAAAGTACAGCCTTTCTGTAACACTTTCAGTTGTACATCATGGATTCCGAAGAAATATTAGATTTGTAGTAAATTGTCTGTTTTAACCTTCTGCTCTCATGGGAGAATCCCAGCGTACCTCATGGTGCTTTACAGATCAAAGCTGATCTAAGAATGGGCGCTATGAACTGTATTAGTACAGCAGTTATGTCAGATCACACGGACATCAGATGCAGAAACTCTGTCCTGCCTCACACGTGATTGAGTGAAACAAAAGGATGGAGAAACACTGTCATCATTATGATTATTGAGGTGAAAGGGGATCGTTTTCCCACCTGGACGACACATTCAACAGGCACTGTAATCTGGGCCTTTCCTGTCCACGCACATCCATCGCTAATGACTTTATGAAGCCGTTTGCAAGGCGGTGCGGAGCGGCCCTGTCCCCTGTCCCCTGTCCCCTGTCCCCTCGGGCTCCTTACTGGGACCTGCTGGGCCTCGGGCCCTCACCTTGACTGTGACTGGGAATCCAGGTGAAGGCCAGGTGAGCTCCGTCTGCCTCCAGTACACATGCAGGCTCGGCTGCGCGCTCACGCGTGTCCGTTTTCAGCGGCCGCACGAGGAGCCGGATTGGACTCGAGTTGCAACTGAAACACCTGCTCTGAAGCTGCAGCTTCAACAGTGAGTGTCTCCTCCAACTCGTCGTTTCAAGTGTTAAACGTCATGCAGGTTTGCTTATGTGGCAAAAGACAAAAGACATATTCTTGCCAAATTGGATTTTTGCTATAATTGCCATTATCAATCACTCATTATCAGTCATTCCCTTATCAACGACTCCCATTGAGTCGTTGATAAGGCTCCTATGTGGATAACCATTGACGGGACACTCGTCCAGAACATGTCTCAACGTGCACGCCTCTCTGTCCTGCTTAAAATACATACTTTGCATCAAAGTATGCAAGTATTTCTTTTCATACGGACGTTAAAATAGTTTATGACGTTTTATTCAGATAATATTTTAACACACCGATGTTAAATGAAATACATAGCGATGTGAATTTCATCTTGCCGGTGGATTGAAAGTCAAGTCTTAAGTTAAACTGTCTCTCAGTTCATCTACAGTAGATTTAAGACGTCACCAAAATGAAACAGGACTTCAATATGTTTGATTTCAAGCCTCATGAAAGCTCTTACAGTAGTAAAGTCCTCATTTTTAGATTATAATTCCCCCCTCGTGGACACTTTGTGTAACTTTGTCTTTGTGCGGCCGATTCCACAATGCAACGATAGGAATAGTGATACCAGGCAGCTAAAAGGCTCAAATGTGAAATGAACCGAGTGATTCCAGCACTGATGGCGCACCGCTATGCAGATCCCGTGTGTTTTTCATTTACACGCGTCGCAGGAGGCACGACCTCCAAGCGCCCGCCGCTCGCTTCTCCCGCTAAGCGGCCATTAGCATTAGCATCGACATCTGTGAAGTGCCACTGTACGAGCTGCTCTCCTCGGGCCTTAACAGTGGCCACTTAGTCCCAGAGAGTCCTCTCACAGTAAAGAGCTTCCATGTCATTACCAACTTAATGAGGGATTAACTTGGTCCCTGATCGGTATCTGCTGACTTGTCACGACGGTCCCGTCCCGGGAACGGAGGACTTGTGTATTCGGCCTGTCTGACACTCCGTACAGCCACTGCACCACTGAGCTGAGGGGAAGCAAATGAAATAAGTCCAGTTTACGTGCCAGATGGAGAGCAGCGCTTCGACCTTCGCCAGGTGAAGAGCCGCTGGGGTCAGAAAGATGCCCTTTAAGAGAACATTCACCGAAATGAGAAGGGTGATGGTCGCCCTCATGCACGATGAACATTATGCTACATCCAGTTAGCTTCAGCAAAACCTGTTCTTTGTCGTTGAATGGAAGCAGATGTATCGCATGCATGAGCTCTGGGTTGGTTCCCTTCACCTCGGCACCGAGCAGGCCGGATTCTTCCTGAACGGGACATTTTATTTGGCCGGTCATTAGGTGCAGAGAGCTAGGTGCACAGGTGGCAAGATCTTCTCCTTCACAAAGCGTGTTTGCAATTGTTGCTCTATGCATCTTTTACACATAGTGGTTTAAATATTTTTTATATTTAAAGAAGCCCATTCTTCACGAAATGTGGATTTCTAGCAAAGTTCAAAATACCCTTTAGTAGTCACACATGCAGTTTATTTTTTAAGTGTTTTTTAGTAGAACGTTAATACTTTCTCACGTGGCTCTTATCTGATTCTAAAACTAAACTTTAGAAAACTAAACAGCGACTTGAATGCATAAGATGGAAATGCCCTGTGGACATTTCACATGTTTGCTGATTCGTAGCTTCTTTATGAAACCAATCATTGTCGTGTTTAAAGGGGCCCCTTCCCAGGTGCTTTGAGGGCTCTGTGCCCCCCCACCCCCCCTCCCCTCAAGCCCCTTTTTAATGGAGGTGAGAATTGGCGGGTTGGACTTTAACACTTGACCTCTGTTTACACTTCCTGTGGGTGTCAGGGCT